GCAGCGAGGGGCTCGCCTCCACTTCCGCACTGGGAGGCTCTGGCTGAGGCTCTGCTGTGTCGGTGTCCTGCGCGGATTGGGCGACCGGGGACGCCCCTTGGGAGTGGTGAGGACGGGGGATTGTGGTGACATCAGGCCCCATGCCGTGGGAAGAAGAAGAAGGAGGGACGTCACTGTGCCAAGCAACAGGACCTGGAAAGAAATATTGAAAGAAGAGCAAGAAAAATTGGAAGAAGAAAGAAGTCTATGGAAATCGATTTTGCCAAGCATTGCCAAGCGACAGGAGCTTCCTCAAGCTCTTCCTCAGGATCCTCTCGAACCACCTGCGCAGCTTCAACGGTGGGCATCCTCCCCAGTACTGAGGGAACCCCAACCAGTCTCAGTCTCATTCATCCTGCTGGGCCACTGCGGAAAACACTTAAGGCTTCTCCTCCCGAAGCCAAACCCCCAAAAGGAAGGACCCATGTGTGCAGATTTGCAAGTATACCGGTTTTTATAGGGTCATAGAGCTTGGCGGCTACTGGTCCATGCCGTCACTTCCGGGTGCAAAGGAAAGCAGCCAGCGGAAACGGCTGAGCCGAGTGGTGTCACACGGGTCACGACCTCCGCTGGCGGATCTGAAAGGCCCCTCCCGAAGCCGTCACGCCGCGTTTCTTCGGCCGTCACCGACTTGGCCTCGGACGTCGGTAGGCCGAGTCCACTCGGAAGAGAGCTCCAAACCTCCTCAACCAGGACGAGTGTGGTCCCGCTTTCAAGGTGGGGACGCCCGTTGACTGTTGATCGTCAGATCATGTCCGGTCCAGAATCATGTTAAGTACAGCTTCTTGAATCCTCAAAACCAAACAGCTCAATACGACGGCAGTACACTACACAACGAGAGCCAAAACAGAAAAGCACACACAACGACACAACACATCTCCATCATGCTACGGCATGGCTGTGGGCTCCCAAACCACCCCCACCCCACGGCCGAGACCTGCGGAGACCGGCGTCGGTCTCCCGACCTCCTCGGCGACCGCCTCTGCGAAGACCGAGACCTCCTCGGCGACCGCCTCTGCGGAGACCTCCGTGGAGTTCACGCCTGGAACGCCAGGTCTGGTGAAGTGGGGCGGAGAAAATGGGTACAGGCCGATGTGATCGAAGCGCGCATCGAAGCGCGCTGTGATCGAAGCGTGGAGAAGACGGCAATTACAGGCCATGCCCCGTCTTCTCTCCGGTGAAGTGACCAGTGTCCACTGAAAATGCGGCAAGAAGTCTTGAGATCTGTCTTGCCCTATAGTTTGGGGATCTTCGCCAGCAGTCTCAGCGTTGAGTCCGCCACAGCTACAGGTCAAAGACCTCATCTTACTGGAGTTGATCAATCATACCCAAAAAAACACATATATTTTTAATATATATACTATATATAATATGTTCCATGAAGTGAAGTGACCAGGTTATCCAGCTTTTGCTGGACCAAATTAGATCAGGAACGCCACAAGTCGCGGACACTGACACCAGACCGGTGGGCGGGTCGCGACGGGGCATCGCCTCGTTAAGACGGGAAGTGCGCACGGCGCGGACACCGTTCGGTTCCTTTTCGGCAAAGCAGAAGCAGCATCGCTCTGTTTTGCGGACAGTCCCTGGAATCATTCATGGCTACCGTGGAGTGCAAACCCACGGTGTGAGGATTGCATGGTCCACACTCGGAGCCCCACGTAGCCATGATCGCCGAGCGAGACGGATGCCAGGGAGCGTGTCGGGACTGCAAATGTCCACTGTGAATGGTGGACCATGGTGGACCAGGGGACCCGGCATCTGGCTGCCAGGGCCAGAAAATGAAAAAGTGATGACAAGTTCATAGGTGATCTTTGGTGATCTTAAGGCATTTGGGGACCTTTCTTCGGATCTTCATGGGTCTTTGTTAACGTAAGGCATTTGGGATCTTGATCTCTTGGGTGTTTTCTCGCACATCCGATCCTGCTGAGTTGGTCGCCGAGCCGTCTGGGACTGCCATAGGACTGCCGCCCCAGACAGACCCCCAGGTCAACCACCCCTGGCTGTTTCTCGGTAGTCCTACAGTATGGGTTGCATGGAGCGTCTGGGGTTGGTTGGTTGATGGCTTTTTGGCAGGTGGCTTAGAACTTGAGGCCACGGGGAGGAGGTCGAAAGCTAGCCGAATCGCACCGGATGTACTACTTACATAGTCGGCAAAGTATGTAGTGTCTACATGTTTTGGGAGAAAGGTTGCTATGTACATACTTCGCGCTAAAAAATGTAAATGTGACATCGCCGACTGGGAAGGGTACATTGGAACAACCCGGGTGCACTCGTTGGCAGGCACGAAGGCAAATCGCTTTTGTACGCCTTGGGTCGGAAAGAGGGGTAAGCATTTCTGACATCACACGGACTGTACAGACACTAGTGCGTCCGTAGTGTAGGATAAGCACTGGAAAAAGGTTTGTGACGGTATATGGAAAAGAGTGTGTTGAGGAAATAGCCGGCTTGTGGTTATGGCAAATCTGGGGGGTAAATTTACCCCCCACTTTTGTATGCCTTGAGCGGTAAGCATTTCTGGCATCACAAGGACTGTACATCACTAGGGCGTCCGTAGTGTAGGATAAGCACAGGTATATGACGGTATATGGAAAAGAGTCTTGAGGAAATTGCCGGCTTATGGTTATGGCAAATCTGGGGGGTAAATTTACCCCCCGCTTATGTATGCCTTGAAGCGGGAGAGAGGGGGTAAGCATTTCTGGCATCACAAGGACTGCATACACTAGGGCGTCCGTAGTGTAGGATAAGCACTGGTAAAAGGTACGTATAAGGAATAGAGGGTCTTGAGGAAATAGCCGGTGTATGGTCATAGCAAACCTAAAAGGTAAATTTACCACCCGCTTATGCATGCATTGGGTTAGAAATAGGGGTAAACAACAAGTCGTATGCAGCAAGCAGCAGCCAGCAGCAGCAGCAGCCGCCTGCAGCCAGCAGCCAGCAGCAACCACCAACCAGCAGCCAGCCAGCAGCACCACGCAGCAGCAGCGCAGCACCAAGCCGCAGCAGCAGCAGCAGCCGCAGCAGCAGCAGCAGCAGCACCATCAGCAGCAAGCAGCAAGCAGCAGCATCAGCAGCAGCGGCGTCGTCAGCAACAGCAGCAGCACCACCAAGCCGCAACAAGTAGCAAAGCAGCAGCAACAAAAGCGGCAACCAGCGGCAGCAGCAATCAGCGGCAGCAAACAGCAGCAGCAAGCAGCAGAGCGGCAGCAGCAGCACCGTTTACACCAAGCCACCGTTTACACCCAACCAACCACGTTCGCACGTTCAACCAACCCCCGCTACACGGCGCAGCTGGGAGTCGAACCGTGAGGGGGGGGGTTAGCGTGATATATCAAGCTTTTAGGCACGCAGCTCATCCCACTACCAATTGCTAAAGCAAAGAAGAACTCAGCTAGCATGCTAGCTTTCGTGACTTGTCTCATTTTCTCCCAGATTCTTCGAACCAGTCCGAGGCCAGCCTCTGGGCGAGACTTTCTTGGGCTTAGCGTGGTCAGGGTCCTCCTTCACCTGGCAGAAGGTGGAGAGCCTGTTCAGCGAAACATCCGATGCTTTGGCTGCTTCATGGCTGGATGACGGTCTGGAGTAGAGAAAGAACATGGAATGCTGTAAAGACCATCATGTTTTTGTGCCGTTCTTGGGATGTCTGTGAACACCTGGTTCCGCATGGTGCAGGTGCGCCCCTCGAAAATCGGAGGGAGCTGTGAAACGATCTGGTTTGGGAGCCCCCTTGTGACCCATCTAGCCGCTAGACCGACGCCGAGCGTCGACCTGCTCGCTCCCAGAGCTCAGCATCCCCGGCTTTCTGTCCATTGACCTGGTGCCTGGGATGTTTCCCAGGGTTTGAGCCCCCTTCAGGCAGTGGCGTGTGACTCCTCCCCTCCGGGGCTTGGAGAACCCCAGGAGGTCCGCCCTTGGGACAAATGGTTTGCTTCGACTATACACTTGAGAGGTGCTTGTTGGGTCATCGCGAGGCGCCTCCCCTCTGCACCCAACGGCCGGTCCGAGTGGCGCCACACCGCCCCCCTTTTTGCAGCTCCGCTCGGCGGATGGCAGTCACGCGGTACGGAGATTGGGGGGCATCAGATTGCTCGTCCGAAGCTGAAGAAAAACAGGTCCAACGGTTGTGGTGAAGATGATGCCTGTGAACTACTGGGTATACACATGATGGTTCGAGCCACGAGTGTTCAGTTCTAAAAGAACGATGTGCAGCCACGTTGCTGCTACCGCATAATGATGGTCTGTGACGATCTGATGGCCAGCTTGCTGGATTCGCAAGTGCGATAAAGGTGGATCTGGTCAACGGTCACTACAGCACAACCTCAAAGCAACTTGCGAGTGCTTTGCCCATTCATGGAACTCGAAAACTGAAAACTCCATAACCTCAAGGTATTGGATCTGAGTTCTTCCTTTCTCCAGACCCATCGGGTCACCCGACCCGTCGCGTGAGACGTGATCCCTTTTGGCCAGATCAAAGATGTTCCACGTCGACCGACAGACACCGGTCGACGTGCGGCGGACGGGGCCGATCTGCGCATGTGTTGTGCGCTGATCGGACAGGAAACCGTGTGCGATCATCCGGTGGCTTCTGAGAGCAGAAATGTCACACCCCATGGCTGCATGCAAATGCATGTTCTTTACACCACAAATTGCCCAAAAGTGCTTCAGAAGAGTATATAGATAGTCACAAACGGTTCAGGCGCGGTTGTCAAACGAAGAAGCCACCATCGACCACAAGCATAGGGACTGCCCCATGGAAACCAAGCCTGGGAAATGCAGCCTGTTGAAGGCTGAGTCGGACACGTTTGGGCAAAAAACGCCAATGAGAGCCCACACTGGTTCTGCTCCTGGTTCTAATTCTACCTGCCTTTCTGAAAATTTCGCCCAGGAAGCAGAAGCCTGCAGCCGATGTTTCGAAACCTGCGGAAAAGATGCAACAAACATACTAACAAACATCTAAAGATGTTGAACACCGCCCAACAGCAGCAGGCTGCACCTACACTTCCACCCCAAAGCTTCGTTGGCACGTGTCAGTCTTGACAGGCACAACCATGCATCTCTGCATCTGGCATCCGGGCCCGTAACCACCAGAGCTTCGTCACACCCGATCAAAGGGTGAACTCACCCTGCTATGCCTCACCCCTGCCCCCATGAGCCTCGGTGGCTGTTGCTTGTGGCCCGAACAGGGCCGGACAATCCGTCGCATGCCGATCGCTGGCGATCAAGCATGATCAAGCACTCCCCTCGGGTCCGTCCGCACTTGAATGGCCGATGGTTCTCTCACCGTGTGGTGCGTATAAGATTGTAAGCTCCTCCGGGGAAAAACATGGAAAAACCAAGCACCCCGAAGACACCAATGCCTAATTCCTCCCCCTTTGTTCCAGCCCACTGGCGCAGGCACTTAGCACTTCTTTGGGGCTGGCCGTCGTGGCAAGCCCTCAAAACCAGGCACCCTCCCCCAGTTCACCGAGTGATCCCCACCATGACATCATGGCCGTGAGTTTTGTGGTTTGTGGGCCGTCGGGTTTGGCACTGCCCACTACGATCTGGCACTTGTATCTGGTAGACCTGCCCAGTATGGGCACATGTTGTCCGGCGGTGCCCACTGCGATCGGGCGCTTGCCGTTGGGTAGTGCCGAGTGCGATCTGGCGCTTGCAGTTGAGGTCCGGCAGTGCCCACCGCGATCTGGCGCTTGCGGTTGGGGTCCGGCAGTGCCCACTGCGCTCTGCCACTTGCTGTAACTTGCTGGCGAGGAGACAAGGCGGAGGAGAAGGAGGAGAAAAACTCTGATCAAATCTAACAACCCTCACCAGCCTGGCAGGTGGGGGTTGACCCACACGCACCTGCTCCCTGCTCCTGAAGTCCTCAAAACCCAGATCCTCCCATCTCCAAGCCACACAAAGTCCTCTGTCAAGTGGGGCCGCTTCCGGCGCTTGCGTTCGTGGCGCTTCTGGATGATCCGGTTTTGCTCCAGTGCCGCGGTCAAGTACCTTGGCCATGCAGAGGCGAAGATGGAGAAGCCAAAGCCCACAAAGGGTGGTGAATGGATACCCCCTTGACCACTAAGGGGCTAGTCATAGACACCTTTTAGGGAGCCCTGTCCATTCTATATATGCATGATATAATATAATATATGATAATATATGTAATGTTAATGAAGGTGATGCAGAACGTAGCTGTTCGAGAGTCGCCCCCACGATGTCTGTTCGAGAGCCGCCCATCCCGGGATCCGGCCCCCATCGCGCCGAGGAAAACAACACCTAGACCCGGGCCGAGGCCACGGGTGGTTTGCAGACTGACTTCTGCTGGGGGAAAATCAAGGTGAACCGAACTGTCCACCTGTCTCCACCTGTTCTTGAGTGGGGAAACCATTGCCCGAAATGGGGTGACACCCCCTGAAATCATCATGGAAGTTGGAGGAGGATCGGTGCCCCCCCACGATCTGTGCCCGGGTGTACGGGCGCGTGCGGCAGGACATGGCAGGACACTTCGACCAACCCTTCAGCTTCAGAAACAGTGCAAGGGTTGCGTTGTCTCCGGGCTCATGGAGACAACGTGTGCCAATTAGCTTGATCTTTGTGTCTGTGTGACCGTGGACAGTGACCCTGCCCATGTGCCGAAGCCATCATGGCAACATCGTCATGTGCGCTGGAGGTGAGCTCGTCCCCGGGAAAAGCCCGGGTGCACGAGACGTCGGATGGAGAACCTCCACTGACGTCGGGTCATCCGTGCTTCCCTCGGGATCCAGTCGTACCGAACCTGAGCTTCGCTACGACTGGATCGGGCTTGAACCTCTTTCATCTCCGTTTGGACCCGGGGGGCGGACGCTCCAGTCCCAAACCGGTCCTTCCGCGTGTGCCGCGAACGTTCCACGCCCGCGCTTCGCCCAGCGGCTTCACGGAATCGGTCAAGTTATTCAGGTCACACTGCAAACAAATCCTGAGGGCGGATCGAACCGATCGGCGACCCGTTGGAACCGAACCACGGGTCGCCGGAGCGAGCCGGTGCGGTTGCGGCTCTCTGTCGTCTCGTTGGGCGGGATCTTGGACCGAACTTTGGTTCGGGACCCCCTCAGTAGTCGTAGTAGTAGGGTAGTCCAATGGGGACACCTATTGGATATTGGATGGTGCTGATGAATTGCTTACTTTTTCATGGCCCACCATGTTGGGGGATGGTCATGTTGGGGGATTGCCTCCTGTATACCCTAGAACCGTCGAACACCGTAGCTTTTCAGCTTTAAATCCAGGTTCTTGTTGATGGCTGTTGTGCTCTGCAAACTCCATCAGCGCCACTTTGTTTCCAAAACTGTGGTCACCCGCATTCTGGTCGGCCATTGGTGTCTTTTGGGGTCCTCTTTTGGTCATGTGGGCGAACCAGCTTTTCAATGTGATCCACCCGATCTCCGGTGCGGCCTGACTCTCGCCTGCAAAAGGAATCAACCCGTTCAATCTTTTAAAGAATTAACATCTCTCTTGAAGGTGTCGCAATGTGTCCAAAGCACTTTCCTCCCTCTCTCTCTCTCTCTCTCTCTCTCTCTCTCTCTTTGCTTGGTGTTGAGCTGACAGTGCATATCTGTGTATGATAGGACGCCCCACTATCACTGGTTGGTGGTGTCAACTCCGGTGAATTATCCAAAAGGTTGAAGATGCTTGAAAAATGCAAATGCTTGAACCAGTACTCTCTACCAGGTGGTGATTCAAACCATTCCTCAGCATAGCAGTCCTTAATGGAGATGGAATACCATGACTGTGGTCTCACTCTCCTGCAACTTGCGACGGTGGTATCTTCTTGCAACTAAAGGCTGTGGGACCTTGGTACGAAAATGGTGTAAGCCATTCTTGCACCTTCTCGCGCGACAAACACATGACAAGCAAGCACCACTTCCTGGCCGACCTGCCAGAATTTCTCGGCAGCTGCCCCATCTGCCACATTCGAGCAACAGCTACAGCCTCAAGCAACAAGAGCACCACTTCCTAAAGGCCATTGTGAAATGCAGTCATCAAGGCAATAGCCCCATTTGCCTTCGCATGCCTTCGCTGCATGTTTACCAGCTCCAGCCCCAAGCAACAACCGTACCACTTGCGGCCACGGTGAGCTGAAAGATAGATAGATGGGCGGCGTCTGCACTTTTAGTAGTACTAGGTTGAGGTGACAGTGGTGAAGCAAGCTCGTAACTTCAGCAACTGAATTCCGCTGATGGAGTGGCGCCTCGCCAGCGGCCTCTTACCCGGCGCCTCCTTGTGGGTCCAGAATGACCAACTGCACACTTGGTAGCTGGCGCTGTTTGACCGGAATATCGTCCTGAAGCTCCCCCCATGTCTTCACTCAAAAGCTTGAGTCGAAATCTTGAGTATCCGAGTGGATCGACTAGAAGCTGCTTCAAATTCTGAACATGCTTTCCACTCGCCACCATGCAGCCCAATTCCTCCTCATGGAGCCGGGTGGCGGTGGCAGTGGCACTTGAGAGTGTGTTCTAATCTCCCTTGCTCTTCCTTCGCTCTTTTCATGCAAAGGAATGGCTCAGCTCCCGTGTGTGTGTGTGTGCGCGTGCATCTCATACAAATCAATACTGTCAGTGGACATCACTCTGTTGGCACCGCTTTGGCCTCCGGACTGGAGGCAAGGCAACCCGCCGCCCCTTCTTGGGACCAACGCCGCCCCTTCTTGGGACCAACGACGGTCCGCGCTCGTGGCACGCTTTCCGATAGTTACTGTACATCACTGGGGTCTGTACACCACTTACCACTCAAACATCCCCCTCTTCCAAGAGAACGTGGAAGTGGTGAAGCAAACACTCCCAGATAATCGACTCCCATCCGTTCTCCCCCCCCAGACGTGCCGCCTGGCCAAACCGCCACCACCTCCAAGCCGCCGAAGGCCCAACCACCGAGGCCCAAGGCGCTGGTCGATGGCCTTGGCGGGGCCTTTGCAGCGCATCACGCCATCGATGAAGTCCTCGTAGGTCACCATGCCTTCACCTCATTCCGGTGCAGACGCGCAGAAAACCCCACCCTCTTCGGGCCTAGATGGCCTCTCGCGAGCGAAACGAGTAGGATATATAGCTCCTGGCAGTATAGCTCCGAGCTAGTATATCTCTATAGCTATATTTATATATATAGCTCCAGACATCTCCAGACCCAAAATGGTGTTCAGCCCCCCTTTTGGGTTTCGCGTCGGCCCACGGGGAGCCAACGGATGGAGCTGGTGAAGCAACGGACGGAGCTGGTGGAGTTAGGAACACGATGTCCGAGCCGGATGAGTAGGGGGAGAAAGAAGAATGACTTCCAGCCCTTGAAACCATCTTGCTGGTTCTTGGATCTCAACGCTGTGTTCGTTCATGGTGTCAAGGCGATTGAACATGGGTTGACCTTCGCATCGGACGCCCGCGTTCGCCTCGTGACGAGGCATCGGACTCTCGAGCCATGCGGCCCACGATGGCTTTGGCCTGGTTGGACCCTCTTCGGAAGTCGTGATTGGCTTCGCGGAGCTGCGATCCCAGTCCCAGTCGTTGGGAGTGGGATCGCGGGCGCCCACAATCCCTATGTCGCGGCGGCCCGGTCGAGCTCGGAACGTGGCAAAGGAACGGAAACTCCCTCAATTTCCTGGAAAATGGGTGAACTTCACGTATGCGGACGGTTTGCCATCTATTGTTGTTGAGTGGGGAACCAATCCCCGAACAAGGCAACGGACCAGGTGATGCCCCTTCTGTCCCCTCTCAAGGGAGAGTGAGGCGCACCCAAACACTAAGGAGGGGTCTCCACAGACCCGCTCTCGACGCGAGTCTCAGGTCGAGAGGCCATTCTGCAGTAATCTGAACAAGGCTTCGCCTTCCGAGAGGTCGAGATCCATGCTTGAGAGATAGGCCTTGCGGACGAGCACTCGCAGTCCGCAGCGATGCAGGGATAGGCCCCCGGCCCCCCGGGAGAGGAGATCTCGAGCCAAACATGAAAGACACTCAAAGTGATGAGGAATTCTGGAGAATGATCCTTGCCTGGGTCCCCTTAGTGTGCCTTGTCGATCCACATGTTCAAGAACGGATTCGGATGATATTATAATATCATTTCATATCCAACATGATCCAAGACTGGAGGATGTTCCGCCTCCATGCCACTACAGGATGTTGTGGCCCGTTGGTTTGCTCATAGACGCTCCACCGGCCATGCTAGTTATTGGCGTCAAGCCTCATTTCAGATTGACGCTCCAAGGTGCAGGGGGAAGCTACAGTCAGTCCTCCCAAACATCCAGGTATTAGTATAAGGTGTGCGTTCTCCACAACGGTGGGGCCGGAAAAAAATGGAACTACTGGAGTTTAATTGTTATTTATGTGGATTTTCAGCGATTTTATATGGTTGGCGTATGTTGGCGTCAATTATGTAGTGAACATCTACAACCACAAGTGTGGACGCTGTTGGGACAGTATTATTATGTGCATCTACAGGAGGTGACGTTGGATCAGTGATCGAGCAAGTCGACGCATCCAGTCGTCGCTGGTGACTTTGGATCCGCACTTCGAAATCCAACATCCATCAAGTTGGAAGAGGGAACCCCTAATTCATGCTCTAAAAGCCAGATACTCCATGGGACTGCCATGGGACTGCCGATCAGGCCAGGGGTGGTGCCGGGGGGTCTTTCTGGGGCGGCAGTCCTATGGCAGTCTCATGGAGTGCTTGGGAAATGATGTTCCGAAGCCCCATGTCTGGACAGGCACCATAAAAGAGGCCCACCCATGGGTGGACCCAGGACCCAACACCCGCCTGCACGCGATGGTCCATGAGCAATTCGGTCCTGAGAGAGCTCGCTCGGATGCTCTGTGGAGTCAAGGCGGTCTACATGTAGGACAGCCTGAAACTCCACGTCCCAGAATGGGTTTGAGGGAAAATCAGCAGGAAACTCATGGTTTTGCAACCCCTAACACTATGGTTTTTGCCAATTCTGGGGCTACGGGTTGTCCTGTTCTTAATCGGGGATTGGAAAGTATGCAGCGGGTTTAGTCACCGCCCAGGGTTCATTGCTGGTGACACTCGGAGCGGTGACACTCGGAGCTTCAGCAGATTGCTCTAGCTAGAACCTACAGCACACCAATACCGGCGAAACAAACCCCTCAAAGTGGCTTCCAAACAAGGGAACCAGGGATTCCACTGGTCTCTGCCTTGAGTTTTGGAACCACTAGTGACCTACTTTGGATGTAACTGGGTTAACTGGGACGAGATGATGAGAAGAATGCTTTGGAGCTTTAGGTCCTTGCTACCACTGTTGGCGGCATTCATTCTGCAGAACATATTCTTTAAAAAACATATTCTGATCATTCTGCTACGTGGTTTTCTCACACTCCAAGGTTGGAGGCCCATGGAGGCCATACGGTTAGCGCGTCATCTCCCCACCACAGCGCAGCGCAGTGCACCTCACACCTTCGTTCCTTTCGCTCAGCCCGGGCGTCATCTCCTCCTCTGTGAGCATCCCGTCCCCACTCTCGTCCATCGCCACAAAGATACCTCCCCCGCTGCAGAACCCCCGGCCGAACGTGATGCCGAACGAACGGCATCACGTTCCGGTACTAACCGTGAAAAAGGAAGGAACCCCCCGGAAAAGTCAAGCCCGAGTCTGGGTCGTCATCTACCACACCCCCGATGCATTCCAGTGAAATTGCTTCCAATTCGAACTCGGCACCTGCCAAAAGCTCTCATGCCCCCAAAGAACATCTGATGGCAACGCGGCCTTCAAAGAAGACCTCTCGATGCATCGGCAAAGAAGACCTACAAACTGGTCGCAGCTACGGCCATCTGACCACCTCTGACCATCCTCTGACCCTAGGACGGACCTGCCGATGCAGAAGACGACTTCAACGGACCTGCCGACTCTCCCTTTCCTGCCTCCCTGGTGCCTCCCTGGTGCCTCGCAGGCCGTCCAATTAATCCTTTCCTGCCTCGCCTTCGAGCTTCTTCACATACTTGGCCTTCTGCCTCAGCCGCTCCTGCACGATGAGCTCCGCGTCGTTGTTCGCGGCCTCTAAGGTCTCGCGCAGGAACACCGCGGTGATGACGCGGATCACCTGGGGTCACGAGGGTCACAAAGAGGAGGGTCATACAGCATACGAGTACTGTATCTCTAGACTTCCAAGACCATTAAAAAATTGTTGACCTGGTTTTGTAGTGTAAAATCCTTAATTGGCGCGGTAAAGCCTATGAATTTTGTTCATGGTGGTTGGAAGCCTAGGAGTATCCGACCCTGAATGCGCAGTGTTTAACATGCTTTCATGTGCATGTGTTCTGGTACTTGTGGCAAGGGATGCTGTCTCAAGCTGTGGCGGCATCTCCCAAGACGAGATGTCAGTGGAGAATGCTCCAAAATGAAGCCATGTGCTTACAAGCTTGGTCATTTGGAGTTTGAGAGTGCTGGGCCAGCTGAGAAGATTGGTGCACTGTGTTGCCCGCCTTGCGGAGCTTCTCAAAGTTCGTGGCTTGGCTTTTGAGCAAGTGTCAGCCTATGTGTACTGTAATGCCTGTGAAGTTGCAGGGCGCGATGACAAAGCTTCATTGCCAAAGGAGAGGCGCAAGGTCTGCTGAGTGAAACTGAGTGATTGCTAAGTCGGAAAAGGCACATGTAGCTGTCTGGGGTTGGAAAGAGCTTCTGAAGCTGTGTGAGATGGTGATTATGCGTGATTCCCAGCGACTAGGCTGAAGGAAAAAGTCTTAGCCAAAAGCGCTATAGCTTCAATAACCTTTGGAAACACATTGTACAAGTACCCTTTTATATCTTGCATTATGTTCTACGAACTGAACTAATTACAAAGTGTGAGCCAAGTTAAATGACTAACGTTGACTAACATACTATGGACCCAGCCACCTCTTTCCCATCTGAGCTGACACCTATGCTGGCCAAGTGTCTGCAAACACGATGAACGTCACATAGACCACATAGAAGAGTGCATATGAGTGATCCACATTCTCTAGAACTGGACCTCAAGCTGTGGGGGTCTGACACAAGGCGATGGGGGTCTGACCCACCTGCAGCGGCAGGCCGGCAGGAGGAATCCAAGTTTCGACCCCATGGGACTCCATCCCACACACCACAATTTGTTGCGGACGGTCCAAGTGGTCTACGTGGACCTGGAAAGTGGTCTAGGTGCACGCCTGTCTACAGTCCCTGAATTCCAACAAAAAGAATCCAGGCAAACAGATTGGACCATGAACCGGACATGAACGCCACGTCGCCAGAAAAACCCTAAGGAGAGACCGCCTCCTTCAGAGTCATGTGCACATGACGGCGTACGGAGTCGGCCCGGTGCCAGAATTCGAAGACCCTCTGTGACCCAGTGTCTCGAACTACAAAGGGATGTCATCTCCCAGACACGACTAATGGGACTGCCATAGGACTGCCGCCCCATTGACCCCCCAAAACCACCCCTGGCCTGATCGGCATATATGGCATACATGGAGTGTCTGGGTCTTACTTTTGTGCATTGGTATCATTTGGGATGTGTTCCCCATTCAGTCTTTTCGCCGTGCCCGGTGGCAGTCTCGTGGTCGGCGCGAAGCTGAAGTTCTAGGTGCCCGGGCGAGCTCTGGTGGGCCAGTTGCCCGCGAAGGTCAGCTCATACCTGCCAGCTTTTGCGGTAGATGAGTGTGTTTAGCGAAGCAGAACAAGAGGTACCTCCAAGCACGACGAATTCACAGCCTTCCACCCTCTGCTAGGTGCGGTTGCATGAAGCACATCCACCCTCTGCTGCCACGTTACATGGTGTACATCGCTCTGTAAGCAGTTCCTTGGATTCCGTGGATTGGAAGAAAGAGGTGTCCATGGTGCACCCGCGCATTCTCATTTCACGCCACTTTGGCGGCAATGTCTCATGTGATTCTACTATACGTCGTTGCTAAAGGTTCCTGACCAAATCTGAAGACCGGAAGGCACTCCGGAAGGCGTTTGTCCGCAGCTTGCACTCACACCTTACGACCTACTCTTGGGTTCTATATGCGAATATGTGTATACCTGGATCTTCAAACGGCACAAATTTTTGCCGGAGGCATTTTTTAGTGAAAAGACGCCGTAATCAAAAAACAATGCCGTTTTATGGGTTGTACAAAATCCCTGGACGGGGAAAGACGCCGTTTGGACGCCCAAAGACGCCGTTTGGACGCTTAAAGACGCCGTTTCTTTTTGCTTTCTGCCGGCGTGCGCCTCGTCACAACAAAAAACGCCGTCTTTGGAAAAAGACGCCGTAACGGCATTTTTTCCTGAAAAGGCAATTATTTGTGCCGTTTCGAAGATCCAGGTATCTATATGTATGTATGTGTTAAAAGAAATGTTTATACTGCGGTCTTTCAGTTTCAAATTACTTTATTTAACTAAAATTGAATTTGGATTGATTTGGTAAGGCGGTAGTTTCCTTTGCAGACGGCAAGAAAAATGCCTTCGGCCGCAGCCGCAAACACCCCAGAAAAAGATGCCGCGAAAAACCGCCGGTTTTCGGCGGCCCAACACCGAGCTCTCCTAGTAGTGCCAAGCGTCCGTAGTAAGTCCACACCCATAGACGCCATTCCTCGTCCTCATTGGGATCTTTGATGAACTCCTGCAGCCTGAGCAACCGCTCGCGCTCGCTGGGCGACGTAGGGGCTGGGCCACGGACCGCCCCTGTTGATAGGATCCAAATCCAGCCTTTCCACCAGGTGCAAGCCCTGGAAGGGGCAATGATGTCATTTTGGGAGGTCAGGGGCTACTAGCCCAATAATGTCCATAGGGAGTGAAACGAACTATTTCACCAAAAAAGGGTTCTCCAGAAAATAGTAGCCTTGAAATTCTCACAATCAGGACCCCACCCGTATCCAAATCAAACGTCCAAACCAAAGCCCCTTTCGGTGAAAAGACTGCGCTAGCAGCCGCTCACCAGCACAGAACCCGTGGCAAGGAACAAGTTCCCCATGACAAGGCTTCCCATCATCATGCCTGGGAGTCAAGGAGGCCAGAGCAACTCAAAGGCAAAGCAAGCGACCACAAACCGGGGCCAACATTGGGTGTGGGTGTTCTTCGGGGCAAGCAGGCCCCTCGCCCAGGTGTGGTTAGCCCGACAAATGCCGTGTTTCGATGCTGTGGTATCTATTCTGGTTGGTGTTTTCAACCCACTTGAAAAATATGAGTCAGAGGGTCCAATCATCCCCAAGTAAGGGTTGAACATAAGTTGCTTGCATCATCTGCGCAGATCCAAAGTGGTGCCCGAAAACCGAGACCGAAAGATCACCTTCCCAACAAGATGACATTCCAAAACCCCACAGGTCCACTTAGACTTGAAGAATACGGTCTTCTCAAGATGTTCACCTAAATACCAGGTGTCATGTTCACCTACCAGGTGTCAGATGTCATCTGCGCCAGCCCTTTGGATTCCTTCGGGCCAATGGAAAAAGGCCTTGCCTTGGGACCCCAAGCCCCCTTGGCTGCCGAGCTCTCTGTGTTCTTACGCAGTGCCGAGCGTCAGACGCCCAGGAGCGCCATGGACCACATCAAAGAAGGCAAGAAGGAGGAGCACGCCTGGACCAAGAGTCGCAAGCCTGGCACATCTCGGTCGTGTCGCGTGGACGGATGGGAGGGATGGGATGACTACTGGAACGCGAGGAATGCACCGAGTGGTCTGACCACGGCGCCTGGTGACGTCAGTCAGGTGTTTGCCAGATTCATGGTTGATAGATCCTGATTCATCTGGATGGAGATTAGATTCAGATGGCCCTGGCACTCCAAGAAGGTGGCTTAGAACTATTGACCCCCATCTGAAGGACATCTTGGGGTGCCACCACTATCAACTCTAAAAACCACTGTGAACCAAAGTCATGCTAAGTCATGCTGATACATCCTGATAGCTTGAACCCCCCCAAAAAAGAAACAACAAACAACAGAGATGGCCAGCTCCTGCCTTGGAAGAGCCGGAGAGTTCTCATCAGCCGAACGGCCCGCACCTGTGTCCACTGTGTCCGCGCCCGAGGACCGGTCGGAAAGAAAAAGAAAACACGCTGAATCTCCTGCTGTGTGACGCCACATGGATGCCTTGAAGGGTTCCGGGATCACGGTGGTGTGATGCGTGGAGGTGCTTTGATGCCGACCCCTCTGGCACTCTCCCCGGACAGATCGATCCGGAGAGGAGCCGGGATCGATCCATGTGTCCAAGAGAAGGTGGTCTATCTTAGTCTATGCCCGGCTTCTGCAAAAGAATGGGTTGGAGTGAGTCCGTCACAAGCAAAATACCATGAACAACCACGATCGGGTGCTGAGGTTCACATCTTTTTGAAGCACCGTTTGGGTGACTTTTGGCCGCAAGCACCGCCCCTTGAATGTCTTGAAGTCCACTGTCTCTCTCTCTCTCTCTCTCTATGTATACCGTTAAGACGTGCGATGTGGAGAAAATAATGGAGAGAGCAGATCTTTGTGTCTTGCTTTGTAGATGGCTTGCATTACAAGAACGAACCATTTCGTCAGGTGTGTCATCCCCCAGTTTTTCTGGATGCTGCAATGGCCTGGTTGTGTGAAGCTCTTGAACCCTTGAGAAATAGTTAAAATATCCCCAGGATTTGTCAATAGCGTCAGGAGTTCTCGGGGGGGGGGGGTCAGAACACGCCAACAGGCCAAAGCACTACCTTAATGCATAAATATGCATGTCATATGATTGCATATAGTACGGGCTCTATATATATATATATATGTGCATAACCAAGCATAACCCACATACTATAGATGTACAATACATCACAGTACCTAAGCTCAGCGACGTCAAGGTCATGATATGTCCGCTCCCATCCAAGCCGACCGACGCTGTTCGTCAGACCGACGTGGGGTCCACACAGCTCCATAGGATGTCCTCATGACCTGGGGCCTCACATCAGCAAATACCAGGAGTCACATGGAGTTGGGTGGTATGGCTCCTCCCATCCAGGGCTCGTGGATGTCCTAGCTGGGCACCCCTAGCCTTCATGGATCGCACCCCGTCGAACGTGACTGCTGGTAGGTGGATTTTTTCAAGACTTCTGGTGCGGCCCCCGGGCCTCAACAGCACGTTGTCAGGAGTCTAGGGGCCTCAACAAGAAAAACCAAGACCTTCCAAACCTCACCCTCAAGATGGAGCTTCTTCTCCAGGCGTCTATAGACCGCTCTGGCCCGGTTTGCTCCGAACTCGGACCGTCCCAAACAACCGCCATGTCCAAGGCACGAGCTTTCCCAGGCGCAGCAGACGTAAGATGTCGATGTTGGGGGAAAAGCCCGCCAGCGGCTTGAAGACATAGAGGTCGAGCATGGGCAAAATCACCAAGACGGTGTCCTGGGTCTTGGGCAGTGAGCTGAACCCACATGCGGAAACCGCATGTTCGTTCAGTTCACCCCCCGAACGCAACAGGGACAGAGGTTATCTTCCGAAATATGTTCCACTTCCGCCGTTAGTGGGGATTTGGGATTCCACCGCCGAGGCGAAAAAGGATCAAAGGGAGAGCTGGTGTTCGCATGCGTTCGCCGTGTAGGGCTGTCGGCCCGACGTCCGGACGGCTACTTCGACACCCATCGGACGAGACGAGGAGAGAGGCGACAGAGGCGTGAATCGGTCAGAAGCCACCCAGCTGGAGCTGGAGGGTCCACTTGGAGCAGCTTCGGACCCTCCAGGTGTTTCCCCGCCTGGCCAGTTTCCAACCACAGGGGGATGCCATCACTTCGGCGTACACCATTGCGGTCTGCCACCCTTCTCTTGGATTTGCTGTGAACACGGAGTAAGAAAGAAGATCTTCTGGTTTAGGGATTCACCCGGGAAAATGAAAAATCATCCTGGAACTGGAACGGCGCAGGGGTGGTTGGGCAGTGTCATGGCACCTGGAGGTCCTTTCAGCCTAGTACTGGAACCTGGCAGGTGAGCCTAGGCTACGTCATCGATGTTGTTCGCCCTGAGGGTTGGGGAAAAAAACCCATAGACTGGTCAACCGGAAGTGTGCAGCACCCCGCCCAAACAGGAGTTGCAAATCAGCTCTCAGGCCTACAAGCAACCAAAAGATGTTGTTTAGAATGTAATATAATAAGTATACGGCATTTGATAGTTGTTGGTATGCAATATGATGCAACTCCATCTGCCCATGTGACCACGCCGGCAATTTCAGCGCTCCACACCCACACCGAGCAGCTGCTATGTTCATCAAATCCTTGAAGTAGGCACACCTGGCCGGCTGGGTCGCCCCGGCTGGGTCGCCGCCGAATCCCATGGGGTGAAGAGAGCCGTGCTCGGCTTTGGCTGGAAGACCTGCAGAATTGGGGACAACCTGGCGAAGAAGAAGAAGAAGAACAAGGAAGAGTGAAACCGATGCTGATCCCCCCCCAACAAAAAACAATCGGCGCACCGCCCCAACGGGCGCCTCTGCGCATAGACGCGCAACGCCAGCTCGCCGGCGAAGATCCAGGTGAAGATGTGTTCCGAGATCTGGGCGGTCGGAGCGAGAGGTCGACTCGAACTCCCCCAGGCGGCTGAAGCATATCCCAAACACTCCATGTATGCCATATATGCCTACATTGACCCCCCAAACCACCCCAAACCACCCCAACTGATCGGCATATATGGCATACATGGAGTGTCTGGGTATTGACAGGAGGGAGCTGAAAGCATGTCGACACTCCCTAGGCCGCAGTTGAAAGGAGGGAGCATTGAAGTTGAATGGCTCATCCGCCGTTTCAATGTCCATGAGTGATCAATCCACCGGTGTTCACCAGTCATGAGTCATGAGTGAGGCAACCAGGTCACCACGTGTACCGTCTAGTTGGGAAAGATTCCAACCAGGACACCGCTGAACGCCTCTGGACCACGTCGCTCTAACCGAGGGTGCCCTCTTCTTCTACCGGAAAACACCTCTCGGAGGGTCAACCAATCGATTTGGGTCTGTGTGCAGCAGATTTCATAGTGGTACATGTCACCCCGCCGGTGGGCCAATGAACTCGACATGTGTAAGAGTCGTGTTGCTCGTCGACTCGTCGGCCCCGTGTGTGAGCACCAAGCCAGGAGCGAAGAAGGACGGACTTGTTTCTGGTAGACACTTTGCTGGATGTACATCCCACCCGAACGGCGAAGTCTGGTGCTTAGACATGGAGCAGCTGAGGAAGACATGGAGCAGCACTTGACATAAATCACCAAAGGTGCGTTTTCATGGAGAACCTCCTCTGGGCGCTTCCAGGCTTCTGGCCCTACTTCTGGGCGCCCTTCTTCCCCTGAAACAACCACCGGCAGCCCACTCCTACCCACTCCTTCCCAGGCAGCCGAAGCCCAAGTGGCCAGGAAGAGTTGGGTGTCGCCGCAATCCCACGTCATCGGCTGATCCACTGCCAACTGAGCCCGCGCGTGCGGTTCGACCGTTCGACCCCTTTCTTCGATGGAACGCGACCCGACCGGAGAAAAACCTGGGGAGGCACCGTCCAACTGGAGAAGCCCGACAAACCATCCTAATGTAGACTCTTGAATTGAGAAACCCTCCCTTTGAAGAGGATGTTCCATTGAAATGGTGTATTAATCAAGAGTCTACATTAAACCACCAAAAAGGTGAGGAGGTGGTCCACTTTTTCTGGGAGGGGCAGAGGCCCAAAAAAGGTTGAATGGTGAATGGCGCCATGTGAGGTGCCCAACGAAAAGGAGGTTGTAACTGGTCTTACGGGCTCATGGACCGGTCTAAGGGCTAAGAGCTATGAAGTGTGGTGTTCGAAGTGTGGTGTTCATCGACGTCCCTCCGGCAGCGCCGCGCCGCGTTCGGCCCGGCCCAGCGGTGGACGCCCACGGCCCATGGACGCCCGTTCGGATCCCCGAAGACTGGAGGTCGGATCGAAGACTGGAGTGTTTGGTACCGAATTGCACATGCCAATGGTGGATGGGTCAACAAGAATCCAACTTGCAAGTCAGATTGACCAGCATGAAGGGGCCACAAAATTGACCTTGGCACTTGGTCACCTTTGGCAATGCTGACACGGAAAGCAATTGCTAGCCTGAAAGAGTAAGGTGAATTGCCAAATGTATGGCGGCTCCCAAATGTATAGCCCCGTCCCGTCAGTCCTGATTGGAGGAACATGTTTTGCACATTGTGCTGCATACACATATATTTAATAAATATATATATATACACACATGAAACATATACATATCCCTACAAATCCAAGTACCTTCTCAGAAGGTGATTGGAGACACTGTTGTGTAGGCTTGAAGGGTCCAAGTACCTTCTGAGGTTCGGTACGACTGGATCCCTAGGCTACATACTGTAATACAATATATTATTCTATAATATTCTATATATCTGTTGGATCCTGGTGAGCGGTCTCTAAAGTCTTTCGTCCCTCATGTTGCAGGGACAAGCTGCTCCAGACCGGTTGCCGATGCATTCCAACTCAAGGGTCATGACGAGAGCATTCCTGAGTGCGGCAATCCAGGCTGCCAGGGCGATACCCCATCAAAGTGACTTTCAATTGAAATGATGGTATTATAAACTATTCAGGGCGTGGCTCGAATGCGAAAGCACTCGTGTCCCCTGTTGATTTTATTAGTAAGACCGTGAGACCACGGTGATTTTAGGTGTTTTTTACGTTGCCATGCTCGAGGTCTGGGAGGCCTTTGGGGGTTCACCCTTCGTGGCTCACGCAAAGCGTGATCGTCCAGGGTCCTGGCGAAGCTGGCCGAAGCACCCTTTGACCTCACCCAGTTTGGACAGGTCGGTTCCAGGTGGTTCCAGGGAAAACATTGGAAGGGAAGGCATGGATGAACACACTCCCAGTCCTTGAGAGTTGTTTCACAGTTGTATAGGCAAGCTGGCGTTCTTTTGAGCTGGGCAAGCTGGCAAATTCATGGCCCTCCGAATCACAAAGTTGGTATATTTTGAGATGCAGAGTCCAATAGCATCAAATAGCCACCCACCACGCCATGGCAACTGACTGTCTCAATGGGGTGGCTGGATCTCAGTATGCACAGGCTACACCGATGCATCGCAGGACCGATATTCAGCACCTCCACCGCTACGTCGGTACGTGACGTCGGCCCGGACCCCCCGAACCGCCAGCGGCCAAGACTCAGAAGGATCAAAATGCCCATCACAAAGTCCGAATATGAGCTTTCCTCACCGGTGCCCGGGTTCATAGAGGTAATACACCCGGGTGTTTTGGTGTGTGTTTTGGTTGGTGTGTTGGCTTCGGTGGCTGAAATCCGGCATCCTCACCGAAGTGTCAGGTTCATGGGCGATCCGTCACCGGCACGTCGAATGGGTATTCGTCGACACGAGAGTGCTTCGTCCCACCCACCGGCAGCTGCCATTCCGTGGGTTTTCCGGAGGAAAACGGAGGGGTCAAAGGTCGTAGAGTCCATCCCGACGACGAGTCGGCAGCGTCGCGATCGCGCGATGGCGGGCGGAACCGTGGTCCATCAGTTTTGGGATGATCCCGTTTTCATCCCTTTTCTAACTCTTACGCGGCTTGGGCTTCCTGCTTGATCTGCTTATGCATCTGTCACTGTTGTCATCATTTGGACCCCACCCTTCATTCGCCGGACTCGCAAGACTACCCAACCTACCCACCTGGGATGGCCCACCTGAGATAAACCCGGTGACGCCTTCAGCCTTCACGAAGACCCAATCAGGCCCAGGCGCAATGACGCCAATCACCTTCTTGAAGCGATCGTCGCCGATCCGCGAATCCTGCCGTTGTTCGGCTGAAAAAATGAGACTAGGAAGGCCGTTATAGTGACGTTCGTCGCGATGCCCAGCCCCTGCGTTCCAACTCATAGCTTCTGGTTCCTAGTAACTAATGCCAGGAGCGCTACGAACTCGTAGCTCCTTTATATAAATATAAATACTTCTTTTGTATCAAAGACAACAACACTCGTAGGTGTACAAACCGTACAAACCAAGGCACAGACCCAGGCCTCTCGGGTTTTTCGACTGAGACAGGACCAGGGACCGACCGACCGGGGTCCGGACGGTGGCAGGGACCGCCTCGAGTCATGAGAACCAGGGAGAAGTCGCGTCGATTCCACCAACTCCGCGCTATTCCGTCTAAACGAGAGCGTGGAGTTAAACACACACCCCGTTGCACGACATCACACGGCACCCCATCTCCTTGCTCACTTTCGGTGTGAGTTCCCCCGACTCATGTTGCCTGCAATCGCTCTGCTTGGCGGTAGCGGGCCCTGGTGGACCAACGTCAACAAAACCTAGAAGATCCTAGAAGTCAAAGAATCCCATGGCATCTTGTCGAGAAAAACCGCCGGTACCGGCATGTACCGGCTGCCGGCTGCTCCGAATTCCAATCTTAACAAACCTTACAACATTAATCAAAATTATGGTGGACGGAGGAAAAACTAGGCTGAGACCGGAATGGCTGAGATTTGGTGCAGCGCTGTCCCATAAACATACGGTTTATCTATCCAGCCAATGTCTGCCTAGATTGCTCACTCACTCCCTCACTCCCTCCCTCTCTTGTGAAACCACTTCAACCACCAAGCCTCTCCCTCTCTCTCTCTCTCTCGTTCTTTACTGGCTGGTCCTTCACGCCATCTCCAACATGACTCAATTGGGTTGGGGGCCAGTTCCCCAACAGGAACGCAGGTTCCAGCCTTGATCAACGGTACCGTCTTTCTTCCGAACCACCCGCCTACTCCCGATGCCTCTCTCTTTTTCCATCGATGGTTTCGTATTGTCAAAGGCTTAAATAATATCAGAATGTCAGAAAGAAAAAGGGGGCAGCTAACAGTGTCACTGGACGGATCTGGACGGATCTGCACCTGCCATTCCATTCTCGCACGGCCGTTGAAAGCTGCCTGGGGGATTACTCCATCTGCCCTTGCTACGTTCGCTCTATATAACAAAGGTTGCCCTGATTGCCTTACACTTGCATTCTTGTCAGCTCCAGCCTCGAGCAACTCACAGGGGCCATTCTGAGCTATCATCAAGACGGTTGCCCAGTCTGCTTTTATGGCATTCTTGTCTCAACAACCGCACCACTTCCAAGTGGTGATGGCAAGATGCAAAAAACAATGCAGTTGCCCCATCATGCATTGCCGCGTTCTTGTCAGCTCCTGCCTCCAGCAACAACCGTACCACTTCCGAGTTGCCATTGGAGGCTGCAATGATCAAAGCTGTTGTTCCATCTTGCTTTGCCGCGTTTTTGTCAGCTCCTGCCTCCAGCAACAACCATACCACTTCCAAGTTGCCATTGGAGGCTGCAATGATCAAAGCTGTTGTTCCATCTTGTTTTGCTGCGTTTTTGTCAGCTCCAGCATCTAGCAGCATCCGCACCACTTCCAAGTGACCACTGCTTGCTGCAGCAAACAAAGCTGATGCCCCATCTCGTGTTGCATCATTCCTGTCAGCTCCAGCCTCCAGCAACAACCGCACCACTTCCAAGTGGCCATTGTTAGCTGCAACAAACAAAGCCGATGCTCCATCTGGCGTTGCCGCGTTCTTGTCGGCTCCAGCCTCCAGCAACAACCGCACCACTTCCAAGTGGCCTACATCGGCTACGGTCATCAATGCAGTTGCCCCATCATGCATTGTCACATTCTTGTCAGCTCCTGCCTCCAGCAACAACCGCACCACTTCCGAGTAGCCATTCACAGCCGCAAACGTCAAGGCTGTTGCCCCGTCTGCGTCTGTCACATTCTTGTCAGCTCCAGCCTCCAACAACAACCGCACCACTTCCAAGCGACCTTCATCAGATGCAGCCATCAAGGCGGTTGCTCCGTCTTGCAGTGCCGCGTTCTGATCAGCTCTTGCCTCCAACAACAACCGGACCACTTCCAAGTGGCCTTGGTGAGCTGCAGCCATCAAGTTGGTTGTCCCATCTGCGTCTGTTGCATTCTTGTCAGCTCCAGCCTCTAGCAACAACCGTACAACTTCCAAGTGGCCCCGTTCTGCTGCAAGATAGATGGGTGGATGGTCGGCGTCTGCACCTGTACTATTAGGATTTAATGGTTTTTGAAGTAAGCTTGTAACTTCGTCAACACGATTCCCCTTACACGCAAGGAGTAGTGCTTCCCAAACAGCCTCCTCGGGCGCACAGAAATCAAGCATAACCAACTGCACACTTAGTAGCTGTGTGACCGGCATATCGTCCTGAAGCTCGCCCATGTCTTCATTCAAAAGCTTGAGTCGAAATCTTGAGTATCCAATCCGACTGGCCAAAAGCTTCTTCAGATCCCCAACCGTATTTCCACTCGCCACGATGCGGTCCAATTCCTCCTCCTCCAGCTGGACGACAGTGGCACCCGAGAGTGCTGTAATCTCCATGAGTGCTGTAACCAGTTCCTGCGAGGTGAGCGAAGGCCTCCGCTCACGACGGTCCTCGTGAGCCCGAAATAGCTTCGCCGAAACCGTGCAGCGAAGCTGCACAAGCATTCCCCGTCGGAGGTTCTTGAGGTTCACAGACCTCAAGCACCGCACATGACCAAACGCTAAAGTGGGGAACAGCTCTTCAATATCCCTTTGCAATATAATGTATATAGTATATAATATATATATATATGATATAATGTGGTTTAATAGTTCCTTATAGCATCTTATAGCTAGAATTTGCTTGGGCGGGCGTCGACGCGTGCGATGATCTGCGACTCGTCTCCACCACGACGACCTCGCGACGACCGGAGACCGAACGACAGGCGCAGACCGAACGACCGGGTGACTTGAAACAAGAACCACATGGACATCAATCGGTAGTCCTGTCGGCCCCTGAGGAAAGTGGACTGGGTCTTCCAGCCAGGTGACCCCGTCACAGATCTCATTGTCACACCACTTCTGAGAGCTCACCAGGCCACATCCTCAGGCGCCCTCCGGCCTCACGGACTTCCGCCCAGCTGCCAGACGCCGTGCGAAGGGAGACTTGCTCCTGAGCGCCAGACGTTCGTAGGGGACGGAATGCAGGGTCCCTGCTGGTGAGATGGCAGTTGTCTATGTCTACCTATGTCTACTGGTGTGTGTGTGTGTGTGAGATGTCGTAAATTGGTCTTTCATGGTCTTTCAGTCACATGGACCATGCCAAGCTTGTAATGTGGACTGTTGATTAAAACTCCCCAGATGATCATAGGAAGATGTTTGACCCTCCTGGTAGGGGGGGCAGTTTTATCAGTCCGCTTTCCTTCTTGCGTTTTTCGTCGTTTGTTGGGCTTTCTTTCAGGCTTTTTGGGTTGTTCTTGAGGTTCGTTTCCCTACCCCAGTCAAGGGCTAAGTATTCACCTTTTCATTTTTCTACACCTATCTTTCTCTCTTGCCCTCTTAGCGCTGCTCTTTCTGTCTTTCTTTCTTTCGTTTCTAAGGCTTTTTAGGTGACTATTCAGGTCTTTCACATGCGCGCCGCGAAGCGGCACCGTGTGTGTGTCAAACCCTGTTTCCAAGGGTCTAATTTAAAGCAGGGGACAGAGCTCTCTGATGCTACTCTGTCCAACGAAGCTAGGCATCAGAGAGGGAAGCACCCACTGGCCATGGATGTGTACCTGCTTTTAACGGTTGAACAAGCTGTCCAATTGACCTTGTTTGTTTTCATGGTTCTTCATGATACTCCCCCTAAACCTTCCCACCGCGTTCTTGCAACCGAGCCGCGCGTTTTCGTGAGCGTTTCGTTTTCGTGCTTTCTGCAGACTTCAAACCATTTTGTTCAAACATCTACAAGTTTTGCGGACTCTTCACCTTACCGTTCTTCACCTTCCTTCCCAACGTGGCAATTGAGTTAACTGAAAACCAATGTCAGAGTGTGAGCCGCTCAGTCTTCCCACTTGGGTACCATTCCGGAATTCACTGATCCTTCATATTTATAACTGACCCTTTGCTTCTTCACTTTCATAACTGAATTAACGGACTTTTGAGCCACCGGGCCAAAAAACGGACAATCTCAACCACCGAATCCAGAGCCGCCGGGCTATAAAACGGTAATCCACCCGCAATGAGGCAGGTTTCCCAACCCCCCCCCAGCCGAGTTCTACTCCCTACCTATTTAGGGCAACATAGGGAAATGGTACTCGACACACTTGTGTGTCGGTGCCTTTCCCTGTGTTGTTCCTGTTCTAGTCTATCCTACCCGGGCGGTCTAAGACTAAAGTCCCGCTCCCTAACTAGTGCACCTAATTCACTTCGTCTAAGTACTCAGTAATTCTAGAGTGCTAGGTATTCAAAAACACACACATGGACATACACCCCCTCCCTGCCCCCCGCTTTCCTTCTTGCGTTTTTTGTCGTTTGTTGGGCTTTCTTTCAGGCTTTTTAGGTTGTTCTTGAGGTTCGTTTCCCTACCCCAGTCAAGGGCTAAGTATTCACCTTTTCATTTTTCTACACCTATCTTTCTCTCTTGCCCTCTTAGCGCTGCTCTTTCTGTCTTTCTTTCTTTCGTTTCTAAGGCTTTTTAGGTGACTATTCAGGTCTTTCACATGCGCGCCGCGAAGCGGCACCGTGTGTGTGTCAAACCCTGTTTCCAAGGGTCTAATTTAAAGCAGGGGACAGAGCTCTCTGATGCTACTCTGTCCAACGAAGCTAGGCATCAGAGAGGGAAGCATCCACTGGCCATGGATGTGTACCTGCTTTTAACGGTTGAACAAGCTGTCCAATTGACCTTGTTTGTTTTCATGGTTCTTCATGATACTCCCCCTAAACCTTCCCACCGCGTTCTTGCAACCGAGCCGCGCGTTTTCGTGAGCGTTTCGTTTTCGTGCTTTCTGCAGACTTCAAACCATTTTGTTCAAACATCTACAAGTTTTGCGGACTCTTCACCTTACCGTTCTTCACCTTCCTTCCCAACGTGGCAATTGAGTTAACTGAAAACCAATGTCAGAGTGTGTGAGATGTCGTAAATTGGTCTTTCATGGTCTTTCAGTCACATGGACCATGCCAAGCTTGTAATGTGGACTGTTGATTAAAACTCCCCAGATTATCATAGGAAGATCTTTGACCCTCCTGGTACGGGGGGCAGTTTTATCAATCTACATTCCACCGCGGTCTTGAAAAAGACTTTGGTTCCACATCCGCCGCAACCCTTTCTTCGGAAGGGAAAAAAAACACCTGGTTTCGCCGGCATCGGATGGTCAACCTCTCGAGTCGATGGCAAGATCGATCGCAAATCCGTCTTTTCCGGTTGAGCTGGGCGGTCGCAGGGTCGAGCTGGGAGGTCGCACTATATATTTGAGTTAAGAGGCTGGTGCCTATCCGTCTGTTTGCAACGTTGCAAAACGCAGAACTGTTGCATGTCACTGCAATTCTGTGTGTGCCTTGCCACCGTGCCATCATACCCCACGTTCTACAAAAGGCACTGGAGCAATGGCCATCTTATAGTTGCTCGTGAGGGAGTGAGATTATAGGAGCTGATGACTTGACCAATGGTATGAACCGCGGTTCATCGGTGAAGGTCCTAAATTGTTTCCAGGAGATCAGAGTCAACATTGGAGTGAAAGGTTTTAAGCGCTCCCTGACATCCTCAAAAGGTTGTAGTTTGGGTGGCCCTCTGCCAGGAGACATGTGACAGAAAAACAGTGGGGTCAACATGGGTCAACCAAAAAAACAGCTTTAAAAAAAGACGCTCGACGTTCCTCGACTGTGCACCGGTCACACCTGTTCGCCGCGACTGGAAGACCTGGTCGTTGCAACGAGTCGTTGCGTCGCGCCGAGGAGCTCCGTGGGTTGCCGGGCCACCTCGACACCCCCCGCGTCCGATTCCATCGGAGACATCGGGGTGATCGTGCCTTGGTCCTGCACGGATGCGCCGCGCGGGCACCCGCGCGCGCACCGCCGCGGAACGACGAATCCTCACACACCCGGATGTGGCATATGCGCATGGATTTGGAGGGAGGAGGCGCATGACTCATGAAAGAAACATGGATTTATCCATAGAGGTATATGGGTATGTGCATGTACGTGTGCATCTACACATCAAGCAATCCACAAGCAATCCCAAATGTTATGCTTCCTGGCAATCTCATCGCGCTAGCAATCAAGAGCCGATGTAGATACACATACATTCACATGCCACTGGCGTGAAGCACGTCGAATAAACTATAGGGAGTCAAAGACTATAACAAGAATGGTCTTTAGGGAACCTGATTTCGGGAACTTCCTTTACTTCAGCCGGTCAAAATATAGTCCAACTGGACTTCTAGGGTATATATATATATGTTTAAATACACCCTAGACGTCCAAAGGCCATTTTAGGCACCACCCAAGTAAAGGAAGTTCCTTTTCGGATCATCTAAAGACCGTTTTAAATATGGTCTGGGACTCCCAGGGTTTCTATGTGTGTGATTATGTGTGCGTATTATTCTTATATCAGTACACAATAATACACACACATAATTATAAGACATTATGCTTCCATATGTCCCTTCGCGCCACTTGTATCAGCGTTGGCTACAGTATGGCCTCTATTCCTAGGCGGTGCCATTGACTCCGCTGGACTTCCGTCGTCAACGCTGTGATTTCAGAATGACTCCAATCTGCTTTCAGCTGCCAGGTGAAGTCAAGTCGAGCAAGCAAGCGATGGTATTTTCATGATGGGCCTTCACGTATGAGGTATGGCGCCACACGTTAACCTCCACGGTATATGTCTGCGCAAGGTGCGCATGCCTTTTGGATGCTAAAGCTGAGTGATGCTGCTGGCACAAGGCTCTTGTTCCCACGCGCCGAAGAATCCACTGGCACAAGCCCTTCCTTTCACTCAAGAACAACCCACGGCCTGCGACATGTTGGAGATGCTGGATTCCATGGACAGTCTCAGTTTCACTTTCCCGGGCGTCACGGGTGCCGCTTCCTGGCACGACGGGAAAAACGGGTCCAGGTCCACCGTCCAGTTCGGTGGTTCACGGTTCCATCTAACATGACTCTCAAGAACACGTTGTAGAGGAAAATGGCCTTCCACAAATGGCAAGGTGTACATATTACAATATCCTGCAGGCTAAAATTGGACCCTGAAAAATACCCCGTGGTTTCGACCATGTTTACAACCCAGTGCTTGTTGGGAAGCGGGCGTGTCATTGACATCTGTCCAGTTCAGTAGCTAAGCTGAAGGCCAACACTTGTTCATCACGACTCTCATCAGGTGTGAAGTCGCCGCGACTGCACCGGCGCAAGTGCTGGGCAACCATTTCCATAGTCCCCTTGGAACACCTCATAGTCATACCACTAAAACCGTGGTCCGTTTCTTCAACAAATATATAAGCGAACAAACACATATTTCGAGACTCGCCGCCGCAGCGAAGTGCGATCTGGGAATATTGTTGTGGGCAACATGACAATTTTGTGGTCCCCAAAAGTGGAGATGACCGGTTTGCACAGTTTCCACATCTTCTACATGGGGATTTACCGACTGTTCTATCTCTATGACCAGGGGGTCTATTCAAGACTCGGCATATCGTTAGTGAACACAACGGCGGGAAGACGAGGAAAAACAACCATGTTGTCTCCCGTTTTCACGCATGCATGCATGGATGTATGTATGTATGTATGTATGTGTGTATGTGTGTATGTGTGTATGTGTGTATGTCAGTCTATGTATGTGTATGTATATATGTATATATGTATTATATGTGCGTGTATGCTGTATTATTTACAATGTATATGTTTGATGGTGTAGGCAAATGTGTATTATACAATCCTGGAAGTCCAAAGACTATACTTTCCCTGAGTGAAGTAGAGGAAATTCCCTTTCAGGTCCCATAAAGACCGTTCTTTGTATAGTTTTTGACTCACAGGGCAATGTTATACGGTATCTAGTATCTAGCAGCGGTCTCCCCACGACCGTCGCAGCGTTTTCAGAATCACAGCGATGCCTGGATCCGCTCGACTTTCTCGTGGCTGGATTCGTGGCTGAATCGCAAGCCCTCCGGTTCATCACGGTCCTTCTCTTCCAGGACCTGAGCTTGAAGGCCATCGCTTCTAGATGGGAGGCCATCACTAGTAGGTTGGAGGCCATCGTTGTTGACTCGTAGGACAGTGTCTGGTATGAGTGACTTGCACATAGGAAGTAGTCGTTCAATGGACCCAGTTGCTTCAAAGCTCCCGGACATCTGTTGTCTTTCCTTTGGCAGTGCTGTCCTGAACATTTCCTCCAAGCTGCTGCAGGCAATGGTGGAACGATGTCGTCCCCTTGGGCATCTGGCTTGGACTGCCCTTGCAAGTCGAAAGACTTTTGCAAGCAACCAGGTCCCGACGGACGCGAGTCCTGACAGACGACCAGCGCGGGGAGGAGGGGGGCAACTGGTGTCAGGCGTGTCAGCACTGAAATGCGGACACCTGGCCGTGATACAGGCTCGGCAGCAGGGGGCGACTGGGAAAAGAAAAACCACCAATAAGTGGCCCATGTCTGGACTTGCTCTCTTCATGGTGCCTTCCTACTAGAGTCTAGAGTTGATATTTATCGTGTATATCGCCAGTATCGCATCTTGGGTGGCTGAAGCAATGATGGGGTAGTGTCTGCAGCAGCGTCTGCTCCCACCCTCGCCCTGGCCTGACTCGGATAGCGCAAACGCCGCTCAGACACCTCCATGAGCTCCTCACGCCCGCTCGATCCAAGCACCGTCCGTCCGAAGCGGCGATCGCGCGCGTCCGTCCGAAGCGGCGCGCGCGCGGCACACGTGCGTGCGTAGCGCACAGGTGTGAGGCCTTCAAACTCCCATCGGGCTGAAAGTGCAACGCCGCCAAGCTGTGGAAGTTGTTCTCGACCAATCGACTTTGATGGTCCCTCAGTGGAGAAAGAGGTGGCAAGATGTGGGCAGGCAAGAAGCTGATGTTTTGCAGGGGTCGCCCTCTTTTGAAGTGAAATGACACCCTCAAGATCCCTCAAGGCTCTGTTCCAGCAAGGCATATGCTGGGTGTGGCTGACAAATGATCGGCGTAAACTTCTGTGGGGATCCTGAAACTACAGCCTGCGCGCGACCTTCCCTATCCCTCGCGCAAAAGGACAACGAGACCCAGGTTTGTTTTCTTTCAACGGTCCACACCTTAGCTCATCCCCTGTTCCTGCAGGCGTGGGGTAGTGGCCCGCTGGTCCGCCGATCCGTGCCCGTGTTGCATTCGGGGATAGAACGCAGGTCCGACCCAGCAGAAAGGATATGGCCAAATAGCCAAGGTCCGACCATACCGGCCCTCAGGAGACCCAGGTTTCTAGACGAGAGGAAGGCCATTGAGAAAAAGAAGCACTCACCGGTCCCCACAGCATCTGGAAAACACCCCCTGAGGTACACCGCCGATGAACAACCCCGTATTTGTTTAGGAAACTGGGCGATTCGCCCAGCGGCTGAATGGTCTTCCTGACATCCTGGGCGTACTGCTCTGTAAGGGAGCTCCTGTCAGCGAGAAAGTGGACATGAACCGTGCTGGTTCGGGAGAAGGTGATAGAGAACCTCCTCAGAGGTCTAAACTCCCCCGCCTGACTTCCAGCATGATGGTTGACACAGGACAAGAGAATGACCAATGAAAATTGAAGAAGGTCCCCCTGATTGGACGATTTCCGCTCTCATGTTGGGGTGGAGGCCAACTTCGGCGGCCAGGAGCCCGAACTGTGCCTTTGTTCTGCAAAACATGGGTGAGGAGCTATGGCAGTGGTCAACTGCCTAAAACACTGCCTAAAACCCATTTCGCATGTCCAAAAGCTTCATGGCAAGCTAGGAGAAGTAAGACCCTCACAGGCTGTAAGGGGAAACACAAGTCTGCAGCTTTGCTATTACTACTGTGTTGGACCCATATCAAGACCCCAAAATGGATCGCTTCAACAGGCGTCCCCCCTCCGATCTTCACACCCACCCACTGCTGCAGCCACGGGAAGCTCCAAGAGTAGCCAAGGAGCAACTGGGCAGATAAAGAGGCCACCACGCTATCTAAATGGCCTTCCAAGAAGATTTGCAGCCTAGGATGGCTGTTGAAGACACCATCCCAGCGCTCTGGGGGAAGAGTGTTCTTCCCGAAGATGTGCGACGGATTGCGACGGCGAAAGAAATACACATCTGCCTTAAGCTTCTATATGTGTATAGGCGAAGAAACTAGCTTAGCTTAGCTCAGCTTCGCTTGGCGTAGACTAGATTTGATTACTGTAAGATAAGATACGATTGGATCACACAGTAGGTATGAGTAGATAAAATGATATCACTCACTAGTTAGTTCCCTTATGCAAACAAATTAACAACCCATTGAATCATCCCTTTTTCAGAGCTGAGCTCTGAGGTGTGAAAGTATCACACCATGCACCATTCTGGACCCATCATCCAGATTCCAATAATTAGCAATGCAAGGCATGTTCACAAGACGCTCTTGTTCAAACATGAAAAAACCACGCATTCCATCAGATTCCAAAACATGTTCGAAATGCCTTCCACCAAATATATAATCACTGATATCACCGCATCCGTTCCATCAACAGCCGCATCCATCGCGCCGAGCCACTCTCTCTGCGTGACCGAGGCTTCACCGCGCGAAGTCTCCGGCTGCTCGGTCGCGGGTGGACGACCAAATGAATGGCTCATGGCACGAGTTGGAGCAGAGTGGCAGGCGGTGGGACTGGGACTCCACCCGGGTGGTGGGGGGACCTCCTAAGAGGGCCCAACCCCCCTCCAGTGGGACAGGAAGAGCCTAGGAGTACTAGTCATTCTGAGCTTATTCTGTTTGGTGCTATTCTGAAGGCTTTCGGGGGCTGATTGAACATCTGATGCCCTCTGTCTTGTATCGATGCCCATCTTAGCTACTCAATCGAAAAGAGATGAAAAGAGTGCCCTTCAAACCGGCTCTGTCTGCAACTAGCTTCTCAAGAGACATCTCAACCGCGCTGGCCACGAGCTTGAGCCATCCATGGTCGGTCAGCTTCTTATTTCATGGGTGATCTCTGAACTGAATGCGGCATTCTGTGCTTTGGTGGTTTATGGTGGTTTGGTGGATCAAAGCTCACCTGGGCTGGTGCACCAATTCCTACCATTAAGAGTGCCGAGTGCCCAGTGGTTGCGCCAGGTCGCACCGGTCCACGCCTCTCCGTGGCGAGGTTTTGTCATCTGGCTGGGCGTCGTGCTGATCTGCATTCGCAGATGTTCAAAACTCCAACCGCTAATTTTGCGTCACCGGGCGTTTCCCCAAGTGATGGGAGTGAGCGAGGTCACCTGTTGAAGCAGAGGAGGGGTCATTTTGACTTCCTTCGTTTGTTCGTCTCTCAACACAAGCAATCACCCTCATCAGACTCTCTCTTTAGTCCATGAATTGCTTCTTTTTCGCTTTTGGTTTCGCCCTTTCTCTTTCCGGAGAAGCACGGGCGGTTTGACCACCGCGGGCGGTCTAAGCCGGCAGGAAAGAAGGCCCCCCACCTCCGAAACTGAGGTCTAACCGTCTAACCTCCGAAACTGCGGGTCCCCGGGGTGTGCGCGGGGTGTGCCCGGTCTCTCACGACGCCGAGAAGTTCCGAGCCAGCACCACGCGAAGAAGCACCACACGTGCGAAGGGGGATGCAAGGTCACCATGCTTCGTAGACATGTTTAAAGCATATAGCCTATATATAGCCTGTATAGCTATATAATAGCATGTGAGTGGTTCTTCTGTTACCACTCCCGTTTCAACACTTCAACACTGGGACGACCCGCCAGGTTGAGAGACCAAGACCCTGATCTGTACGGATGGGCGACATGCGAGGAGAGGGGCTGTTGCTGTTCCTCTTCCACCTCTCTAGGACTCTAGGCATGGCAGGTCGCTGGGTTCCTCCGAGCTCCAGGAGTCACCTAGAGTTGGGGTGGTGTTAGTTCATCGTCCTCCCCAAGTCGTGATGTGGATGTGATGGGATCAAGTTGGCACCGACCTAACCTCCTTCGGAGAGCACCCCGACTTCACATGACTGCAGGAACTGAAGCTTTGAAACGGTGCTTTCGCCGAGTGGCACGGAAGTTCCACCCTTCGATATCTTCGATGTGCCACTCCACCGGGGCGGGACGCCGCGCCGCCCGGCTCGCGGCTGGGCGAAACCGGAGGCGAGACCGGAGGCGAGACCGGAGGCTAGCTCTCATGAACGGTCCCAAATCTGCGCCCTGAAATCATCCAACGTTGTGGGTGAGACTCGCGGCACCGGCGCTGGTGCACCTGAAGTGGACAAAAGCCATGGGACGCTGCATCACGGATGACACCATGGGAGTCTTTCTGAGTGGTGGAACACTCCAAGCAGCTTGGAACTTCAGAGACGAACCCACTGAGCATTGATCTTGGGAAGGAAAAATCAGGAGTTGCGGCTCCCAGGAACCTGGAAGAAAAGGAATGTGAAAGGGGATTTACCCATAGGGAAAACTTTAAAAATCTCCTGAAGCAAAACCAGGGTCAAACCAGGGTCTAAGTCTATGTTGATTTGTCCAGGGGGGCTCCTTTAACAAATGTCCAGTGGCACACCTTTCGCCAAACCCGGAATTGGAGGACAGGGACCTTTAGATGGCCTCTTTCGGCATGCAAAGGCGCCTTACTCAGCCCTTCTTCGCCTTCCGCTTGTCGGCTTGCAGTAGCCTACGAGGCCGTCCCCCTTTCGACGCTTCGGCGCCGATCGGCAGACGTTGAGCCATGACAAATTGTTCTTCAGTGGTTTTGGAGTCACTTGTTGAAGTCAATGACTTTGGTATACTGCAAATATTTGTACACCGTAGAATCCCTAGAAGTCCAGTTGGACTATATTTTGACCAGCTGAAGTAAAGGAAGTTCCCGAAATCAGTTCCCCTAAAGACCATTCTTTTTGTAGTCTTTGACTCCCAGTGTTAAACTACAGTAAATCGTCTTCATCCCCATGTAGCAAATGTCGTAGGAGGTTGTGCCATCTTCTGTGAAGGTGTTTTCATGTCCCCGTGGTCTATTCTGAGGGTCATCATCGATCCGGCCAAGCCCTCTCCAGAGGGGCTAGGTCCATGGAGGGGAGCGCGGCGTGGACTCTGGACATGTTTTCCTCAAAAAACACGAAGCATATGGACACCCCAAGGTCCTTGTGAGGTTCCAGGAGCCTACTTGAGCCTGGTCACACCATGGCCACACTAGAAACACCCAAGCGCAAATAGGGTAAATCACCACCCTTAAATACAGTCCGTCCCCTGTTCCGAGGATGTTGCAAGGTGGACCCTCAAGAAACGACAAGGTAGACGTGTAGATGTGCCAATTCTTTTGGGAGCTGCCCATTTTTGGCATGAACCCCCCAACATCCTCCCAGCTACATGCGTTCGCGCCACGCCAATTGGCCTCAGTGAAGGTGCAGACGGTGTTTCTGGCTGACCATATGCATGGCCCAAAAACTGTTTTCGGATTTGACTGAAGATGCTGAAGCTACACCCAATTGATAAGCCAAGGATGCGTCCAAGGACACCAACCGGTTGACCTAATTACTACCGGTTGACAGGTCAAGCGTCACATGATGGACCACGGGGCTAACACTGCGTTGACCCATCCCCATATTTATGGAACACCTTGGTTATGGAAGATTCTAGAGAGCAAGCGGCCCTTCGACCCGCACAAGACTTTCGGCAAGTGGACTGGTGCAAACAACACGCCCGCCATGGAAGAAGCAAAAGGGAACTCTCAATGGGTTCTTGGCAAGGCGGGCCATCTGGACTTCTAAGGCTTGGGGAACACTGATGCGGCAATCAAACCTTGCTCTTGATGTAGGCTCTTGATTGGTAAAACCCCCTCAATAGCACCTGGTTTCTCGCATCCACGCAAGGCTACGCAAGGGGCACCTCCAAGACAAGGTGGCCCTCCTTGAAAAACAGTAGCACCAACATCCGTGCGGCTCAGCGCGAGCCCATCTTTCAGAGGTGGTTCGGTCCATGTCTGGGGGGCGTTACTTCATCAGTCTAAATGCCCCTGGCGGGAAGTCAGTCACAACCACCCAACCATCGGAGGAGACCGTGGGGAAGCCACCGCCTATAAGGTTTCCGTTCGACCATTGAAAAAAAGATGGGAACGACCTGGGTTTTTGGTAGTGGAAAATCCTTAGTTGATTCGGGATTCAGCCTATGAATGGTGGTTGGAAGTCTAGGTGCACCCATCGGTATTGGATTCGGTGTTGCGCGAACCCGGTCGCACCGGTCACGGGCCTCGGGGGGGCCAATGGCTAGCCGCTAGATGTGTGTGGTTGCACTGCTCCTCTTCTCACGAAAAATGATGCTTACTGCATCTTACAGCTTCCCCTTCACAATGTTGGCTTCGTGTAAAGCCAGCCCTTTTATTCAGCTTGGTTGGTAAGTGCAGTGCATGTCCGAAGGTTCTGGAACATTTCAAAGCCATATCCAGGCCTTTGGGCCAGGTTTCGCCGGCACTCGGGGTGGAAGACCATGAAAACCGTCACATCGAACACACCTGTCACCAAAGCATCTAGCACCTTTTCACCCCCTCCCCGCCTAAAAAAGCAGCCCCACTGCCGCACCGACTCTGCACCCCCCACCGACTCCAAATCCCAGCTGCTGGCGAGATGGGTGTGGTGCCGGCGGTTCCGACGCTGCCGCTGCGAGGCTTGGATCAGCTTGGCTTCCTCCATGGCCTTTTGTAGCTTCCTCCGGTGCCGAAAAAATCCGCGGTGCAAAGGAACAAACCCGTGCGTTCCCAGGACGCCTGGAGGAATAGAGACCCGGCATTCTCTCAATGATCCGTAATAGACCTAGAATGTAAGGGACCTCTATTTTTGCACCACCAACCACTCAAAATATGGTTTTTCCTATCAAAACAGAGGTCAATTGGGTTCTAGGTGTATATATATATATATACATTGACCAGGCGCAGCTGCGGGGAGGGGGAATGCGTACTTCAGCCAGATGTTCCATGCATTTGAACCAATCCTTGCTATCAAAGGCGCTGCCCGAGAAAAATCGCCTCAATTGAAGCGTCAAAGGTTCATGTTTCACATTTGGGTCCAGAGCTTTTCGCCAGGGTGCTGGGGGTGGCCGTGCTTGACAAACAACCCGATGAGTGATGGAGTATCCAAGCTACTCCGACCAGGACCAAAACCACCCACACAGTTCCCTGGATGATTTTTGACTTGCCACTGCCCCCATGCTTGGTCGACCAAACCAGCCACACCAGCTCCGGAGGATGCTTGGCTGAGACTCTGCAAGCTATCGCCCAAAGCTTTGACCTCCGCCTGCAAAACAATCCTTGGCAACCAACTGGAAACATGCGTGGTGACACCGACATGAACTTGTTAGAGAGCGGCCTAACCTGGAATGGAAACCCTGACCTCTTGCCTCGTGACACGTGATGATCCGCAACGAAGAATGCCAAGCCGTCCTGTCGCTCACTTCTCCTCTCTGCAAACAGTTGATTTGTCTCGCTGAGCCACTGGTCCATGGCCCTGGCCGGCCCTTTGCAACGCAGAATTCCTTCAATAAAATCATCATATGTTATTTGCCCATCGCCTCAGCCAATGTTTCGGGCTTGGTGTCTGGCACATAGAGGTTTAAAACGTGGATGGAGGGAAGTCGTGGATGGACCTTGAGGCAACGGTGTCATGTCCACTTTCTTGACAGATTCACACACACACACACACGTTCAACGAAAAACCAATGCCCAGCATTGGCCCTGCACCAACATCCATCCCATCCACAGGTGAAAAGCAAGGTACGACCCGACGTGGTAACTTACCCCATCACACAGGAACTTGACCCATGGCACACCGATTCTGACTCACATGTTGGTACCACCGTTAAGTTCCTACCTCGAAGGTAAACTGCATGGAATTGCTCTTCAAACATAAGAATTATCTTATCATTCCTTGTGCTTTCCTCTCCCCATCCCCATGGCACACCGTTTTCGGCAGACGCGAAAGTCCTTGCAAAGCAGCTGTGGCAAGCAAATCACACTGTGACACCATGCCACGACTAAGTCACGGCAAAGTCCTTGCAGCATTTGCTTCCGCATGGGACACCGGGTTTCACCAAACAGGCCATCCAAGCCAAAACCATGTTTTCCAAGCTAAGTTTACAAGGGGACGCTGCCATAATGATAGAGCTTCATTAGAGTTTGTGCAACAACGACCGGCAGCAAATGAGTAGGCTTCATAGCGCAGGCAGCGGCAGCAGCAGCAGCAGCCAACCAATAGCATCTACAAGGGGACATTGCAGTGTGGACGCACCAAAGCCAGTGTGCCAGCAGATCGAGAAGTATGTTGCCCATCTCGTCTAGCTGCTAGCTTGCACTGTTTTGATGGCTTCTCCCGATGGCACACCGGTGTCGATGTGAGATCTTGACCGCGATAGGGGCAAACACAGGCACCCATTACAAGACCAGGTTTACACCCAGGGAAAGAAGATGGCAACTCACAACAAGATGAGGAGGAGGAAGAAGAAGAAGAAGCCGAAGAAGAAAAAGAAGAAGAAGAAGGACAAGAAGCAGCAAGGGCAGCAAGGGCAGCAACAGCAGTGCAGCGGCAGCGGCCACCACACACTAAAGCAATAGGCAAGCAGCCACTTGCTCTCACTCTTGGCCCAATACACTCCACACAGCTGCCCCCTAATTTTGCATTAGTATGTAGAAACAAATGCACGAGGCAAATGAGCCCTGCCCCCGTTCTGTCCCAACATTGGTTGGGAAGCGCAACTTGAAGCTAGTCGTGCTCCAAGCACCAGCCACCAAGAAATGGCAAATACACAGAATGAAATGACCAAACAACAAACGTCTACACTCCTAGACACAAAACATGCTTGGGGACACCGTTTCGCAACAACTGTTGAAAAGCCCAATCACAGTGCAGTGAAGCCAAAGACATGAAACCGCAACGACTTTAGCAGACAGAATCAATAGTGTGCCCTTGCGGTTTGGTTGAATTCTCACCTATGATAAACAACAACATACATACAGAAAGGTATATAGCCCAATCAAGGTGTCCTCAAAGGGCACACCTCATCTGGCAGAAGTTCTTGCTCGAGACAAATTAACCCGAGCACCAACACGGACCTGGGGGACTCGGACATCGTCGTTAACGTGCTCATTGTTTTTGAGGCGCTTTCATGGAAATAACGGTGAACACGTTATCTTATATTATATGCAATCGTTCAACATGGAGCATCTTTTTGTTCTTCTCCTGCTCACACTCCGGTTTGTCGCCAAACAAACTGGTAGAGTCGAGTCTGTTCATGTCTGTTCCACAAACCTCGATTGGGAAATCCTTCAAAAGAGTTTTGGTGTGCGGTTTCTGGACTTCTTTGCATGCTGCGCAAGTCTGTCCAGCTGCTGCGTTCCAGCCATGCGAAGCTTATTCCGCCATTATTGCGCCCCTTGTTCTCTAAAGTGAGGCGGCCCTGGACCAATTCACCCAGGAGCGGTCTGATAACAACACGGTCTGTGCAACGAAATCGATCACACTGTCCTGGCCTTGACGACTCAAAACTTCAATGATCTTCAATGTATTGATCCAAAGTGAACGGGTTTCCCGAGAACAAAGGTCGAAGTCGAAGCTCCAACAAGGGAACAGCTTGTCGATTCGGCGCGGCCAGCGACGCGTCTGGTCCGGAAAAGGAACAAAGAAACTGCCGCGGCACGACCGAAGACACGCGGCAGCGAAGCGTCTAGCGCACCGAAGACGCGTGGCTGCGATTTGGTCGCGTTCTCACCCCACCTCACCGCCCTGGATGTGCCAGTGACAGGTGCCCGTATAGATTCTTAAAAAGGAATGCAGAAAAACAAGACTTCTTGCCTCAGATTTGTTCCGCTGTATGACACTTCCTGCCTCGGATTTGTTCTATCGTGACGTGCAGTTTGGGCTGTAGAGTGCAATTACGGAAATCTGGGCGCAGGGGCATGGATAGAGATTTGGGGTTGGGCATTCAGGCGTGTGTCCACGGGCTCTCTGCCAGGAGGATTTTTTTGCGGTTTGTGGGTAAATAAATAGTTGGTGCTTACACTAAAGCCTTTCCGGCTGTGGAAACAGAATTTGCCGGGCGGAATGGCAGCACGTCCTCAACAGTCACCCTAGTAGGGACCCCTAGTGTTACCACACGCCGAAAAGGTGCCGGTGCCGAGCTTGGAGGAGCCCGGGGAGCCGATGATCAACTCACCGGATAATTCTGGGACTTAACACCACCCCTTTGTGACTCCGGACTCCTGGTTGTTGAAAATACCGACCTTCTTTGGACCATGGGGTTGCGGCTCTGATTGGACGTGGACGAAAACCACCAAGTCTGGCATCCACTGCAACGCCAAGTGCTTTGGAGAAGCGGGTGATGGGATGGGAATGGCCAGGGCACTATTTTGCAAAAGCCGGAAGAGGGCCTCACTTTCCGGTAAGTTCACCTCCAGGCTTTCCAGGTAGGCCTGAAGCCCGTTCTTGCGCAGCGCTTCAGCTTCCGCAGATCAGCAGCCGGACAGGTTGAGCCGTAGCGAAAAACACGGTCAATACAACCGGCATGCCCAGCACGCCTCGTGTCAGGAGATAACCAGCGTTTCTACCTTGACCGGTGGAAGACCATTTTCCTCTACAACCCAGCAATAAGTTTCAACAGGTGCAGTTTGTTTGACTTTGAGGGATGGAACCTTTGACTTCTTAGTCATGGTCAATGGCACAGTGCCTCTGAGACCACGACTTCGGCTGGAGACCATGTGCAATCTAATGTAGGCTCTTGATTGATCAAAGCCCCCCAGTATAAAGAGGTGTTTCAGGGTGTTTCCCGCCGACCCGACTTGCCTAATGTGAACCAGACGTATAGTTTCCTCAAGGATTTGATTGAGACAATGCCACACAACCCGCCATATACCGAAATTGAAATGCCTACTTTTCCCCCACCTGCATGGCCATCCCCCTGAAATCTCGGATCAAAGGGAGGCCTTCCTTCAGAATCTAAGAAATGCCCTCTTTCGCGAAAGGGATTTTGACAACATTAAACATCCGAACTCTATTTAGATCTCTAGCCAATTGAGCCGTGGCTCGTGACTTGACACTCGTGCGGTATATGACTCTCCAACCGGGTGTTTGGTTCTCTGTGCCAATTCCAGCCTTTGTGCTTGTACATACAACCGATTTTTTCCACCTCAGAGTGTCTCACGCTACTCTACCCACACCCGCTACAACAGCACGGGGTGGCGTAGAAGCGATACGAACTCGCAAGTGCTTGCATCCAAACTGGGGGTTCTATTAATCAAGAATCTACTCTTGCACTTGATCCAGCTCGGCGAGCTTTGTACGCCCTGTCCCCCAGCCCTTAACCCTGTCCCCCACCCTGTCCCCCTGCCCCCTTCCCCAGGTTTGAGTGGTAGATACAGTAGTGGACGCGGTAGGGATGCGAATCTCACAACATATGATTGGACATAATTTCCTTTCTATCACTCTGGCGATGGCTCAAGGGGAAAAAAAAAAACGCGGTACCTATGAGTGACTGATAAATTCGAAAACAGCTTTGGATCTGTGGTGACGGAAGGGTTGTTTCCCCAAAGGTGTGCACCTCAGGTACGGTAAATTCATCTACTTGGGCTTTTACATACCTGGACCCTCCAAAGGGTGTCCAATGGACTACCCCACACTACCTATAGGCTTCTATTGGGCCCTTTTTGGAGGGTCCTGGTACGTTGCCGCCACCACACGGTCAGCAGCTCTCACATCACCCTTTCGAAGAAAAGAAACACACCCTCTCGGCCCAAAAAGAAGCCTTGTGGATGGAAACTGAGATGGCCGAGATGGTGTTGCCAAGATGAGGGCCAAAATGGTGATGGTGTTTGGAAACTCGTTCTGGGCGGGTGAAACTCGTCTCGTCTCGTTGAAGCTGGCTCAATGGAAAAAAAAGAAAAGAAACCTTGCGCGGCGCCTGGACCCGGGAGTCTTGGAGAAGCTCCTTCCTTGGTGTCTTTTGGGGACGAAGCCGGACGCCCGGCCAGACCGTCAAAAAATCCGTTCAGATCAAATAGGATCAAATAGGGCTTGGTCCTGTTTGCCATTGGTTTGTTGGAGGGAGGGAATGCTAAGTTCTTTGTTTGGACCTGTTTCAGGGCACACATCGGCTACTGGAGGCAGAGTCTTGTCATTACAACTTGAGGGACAAGGCTCGGCCTCGCGGTCTAGCAACTTGTCTGACCACATGCCCGGGAGGTCTTTGCTAAGCGAATAAACCAAAGGCAGCATGGCAGCATGGACCCCCACATCCCCAAATGCACGTGCGGCTGTCCTGCCGAAAGGCGATGGTTCATTGGAAATCTAGCATCTAAAGGGCCGACTTAGAGGGCCGATATAATAAGATATAGAATGATATGTATATAGACACATGTTCTAGAAATGTGCTCCCTTTTCAATGAAAACCGCCGCCCAACTCAACCACCAAGACGGTTCTAGAAGCCATTGGGATCGTGGATAGGGGGAACCGCATATCCTAAGTCATCCTTCACGTTTACCTTTAAAAATGAACGTCCGACTCTCCCCAACTCTCTCCGACTCACGGTCCATGGAAGTGGACGAGCCCCCCTGGTCGTACCAGGGAGGTCGTCTTACAGCTGGCACCACGCTGGTGACCCAGTTCGAGTGGCTCCTCCAGATTTCTGGAGCAAAGATCGCTCTAAGTCTTTCCTGGTGAACCAGTACCATAAAGAAAAACCTGGTAACACATTAGACAATATTAGACAAATAGACCTATTGGGATCCATTCGTGGTCCCATGGTCCACCCAACTCGAAGGCCAGAATCATCTCGTCTTCCGAAAGCAATCCATCGCCGCTTTCGTCGATGGCTTGGAAGATGCCTTCGACACAACCGACACGTGCGAGCTCGGTGAGCACCCCCGAACCAGTTTGGCGAGCATGGACCACCAGATGCCAAGGAGTGGAGAAGATCACGCCTTGAATTGGGTGTTTCATCCTTCTTCCTCTCCAAAAACACTTCTTTGGGCAGGTGTCGAAACTGAGATTCACATCTGCATCGTCCGAAAACCGTTTTTCCCTTCTTCCAGGGAGTCTTTGGAAGGTCCTCCCTATTTCAAGACCCACCCACATCTGCTCTCCCTCGCACCTTCCAGCTGCTCCACGAAGATGGACTTCTTTCGAATACGTTCTTGGATCATCCTCACCCGGCCCCACAGCCCCACAGCCCGGCCGCTCGGACGGCCGCGCTTCGCGACCAAACCCGTGGTTTTTACGACCAAGACTCCATATACCTATAGTACAACCCAACCAGTCCACAACTTGCTTTGCGGTACCTAATGATCTATACTGACTATACTGTGTATCACGCCACATCACGCCACGAAGGACTTCGCAAATACTTCTAGACTGGCTGCCTCAAGAACATGCTCCACAGCGCCTTTCCACTGGCCGAGCATCAAATCCACGTCATTGATCGCTGCCTCCAAGGTTTGCGACAAGAATATCGCGGTAATCACTCGGATGACCTCAGCTTTGCGGCAAGGCACCATGGCACCATGCCACAGTTTTAGGCACATCTGGTAGCAGCTGCCTGATGGTTCTGACATCACCTGCCCCTCCCAGGCCCCGGCCCCATGAGATACATGACACCGTGCACCCACCGGCCTTCGCGGCCTTGATCCTCCGAACCGGATGTGCACATGTGGCGCCCCCGTAGCTGACCACCGTGCGGCCGGAGTAGCTACGGTGAGACCCAAACCAGCCACAAAACCAGCCACATGTGGCTCACCACATGCACCCGAACAAGAATCGCGAGTTCGAACCTCAATGCGCTTGTCACTGTCTGGTCTGATGGAGAGGGTGCACTCTGCTGGTGTCGCTGAGGGAGAGCAAGTGGTTCGTTCCCACCGAAATGTCGTGAAAGAATTTCTCTTCCACCTGGTGACTGATGACCTCATCGTGAGTCAAAACAGCTTGAGCATGTCAGCGAGCGCGTGTTAGTACCAAAGCTATGTCTAATACGCATGGAACCCCCAAAGGACACCCCAGGATGTCCACCTTTTTTGCTATTGAAAGGTATCGACCTAAGGCACATCCAGCTTGGTCTCCTGGTAGGGGCAAACAATGGCACATCTCGTCACAGTGAAGGACTACAAAATGGACCATACATCGGCTCAATGCTGGACCCTTCTGCTTTTGTTGAAGCTCCATGCCCATTTCATCCTAAGAAGCGCTGAGCAAACACTAGGCCCCCGAGCAGCAAAAACCACGATCGTGATATAGGTCACGAAAAAGAGGTTGAATGCGTGGCTCACATCGTCCAACACCTCGGTTGAATGTGTGGTACTTTTGGTGTTGAATTCTGGGTGGGGCGACCAACAACAGCCACCAGCCGGGTGAGCTGAACGATCAAAGGCAGAAAAGGCGGGGAACCAGAATGAGCCAGAGAGCACGAAGCCTCACCTCACCTCACGAAACCTGAACGATGAAAGCAAAAACCAGGATTCCCCAGAAAGGAAGCCACTGCTAGGGGACAACAAACAAACATCATTTATCATCCTAAAAACAATTTCCTAAGCAAAACAAGGTGAAAAAATATGAGTGAAAGGTTGAACACCTCTCTGTGCCGATGAGACCTGCATTTTGCCGGGACCAATGGCCACGCACTTCGGTCTTGGTGAGCCTCTGGGGATTGATGAGGCCATGGAGGCGAACTCACCAACCGTCAGCCAGCTGTGCATCCATGGAACAGGCCGCACATTCTGTGGCCAATTTCCTGGCGCAGGAAGCCAACACAAAGGAAAGAACAACATGGAAAGACTGCGACTTTGGCAAGGGGCAACATCAAGAGATGTGCAAACAACGCAGGGAAAAACACAACCACCCAACATGACCACTTCACGTCCTTCAAAGAATCAGTTAAATCCTTTAAAAGATCCCACTCGCTGATCCCAGTCGGTCCTGCAAAAGTTATCTCATACCTCACTGGGTGCGCACCGCGAAATGCGCCGCGAACATCCAGCATGCTGGATCCCACATCCCCACATTCGGCAAACACCTATCAGGAGCCCAGGTTGGGGGGTCAACACTACTGGGCTAATGCAGTGTTGTGGCTGCTTCCATTCCAGGTTACAAGTCCCTGTCGAAGAAAGTTTGGCCAGGAGACGTTGAGATATGACGAGTTTATTGGGAAAAACACATCCGTCGCCGCACTGTTCATGAAGCGCCCCGAAGACGACATGCTAAGAATTCTTAGGTGCTGTGCAATGTGCAAGTGCTGAGTGGCAAGCAAAGCAAAGCACGAGCGATAAAAAGTCATGAGTCATCAAATAACCTCATTGAAGATCTCCCACCGCTAAAGAAAGAGGTCTTGTTTGATCTGCGTTTGCGGTCTCAGCCCTGCGGGACGCACCTTTCTCCACTTGAGCCAAATTCGCGGCGTAGTTAGCATCCACTCTCCACCAGCGGTATCTGCAAGACAAGGATGTGTGAGTCTAAACAATTGGGTGTGAACAACGTCCCCCCGCAGGTAAAGCTTCTCTGCCGTCTAATCACACGCGTGCTCGCGCACCCCCCCCCGGCCAGGGGTGCGCAAGCCGCCATTTCACGGCTCTGAGCATTTACCTGAAGGTCACCCAACGTGTGTGAAAAGTCAAGCTCTGCAGCCGGAGATTCATGCAAAAGGTGAAAGCAGTTTCACTCAGGAAGAGGAGTAGAGGCGGCATCAGCAGTGTCGTGAAGCCGCGCAGCAGCGGAAGCGCTCTGCAACCGCCCCAAACCTACCCTTACCCTGGAACCGTCTTCCACAGCTCAAGACCAATGTCCTGTGGGGCAAATTTGCCTGGCGCTCAGGATTTGGTGAACAAGTCGCCAAGCTGATCCTTAGTCAGTGTCTGCCTTAGTTGACACCAAGATGTGAATGCCTCATGCAAGGATGCCAACGCCAGCCGCGGTGTACGCGCAAGGTGGCGAAGTTTGATGCTATACCCCTTTTTGATTGCTTGAACCGCGGCGGAATTGTCCTCGCGCGCTATCGGCTTAGGAGAAAGTTCCGGTGTTAGGAGTTTCTCAAGTAGTATAACAGCAGGAAGCAACTCCTCGTGGAGACCTTCACTTAATGAGTTATGAGTTGAACTCTGCATCGGCCGCGCTACTCGCTACATGCTGCTGCCTCCTAGAACCCCACGCTATGGGCGCAAACGTGCCCCGGGGTCCTCTCACCACCAAAAACAACCCGGAAGTGCTTTTTGAAGTGAAGGGGCACCCGCCGAGATCCACGTCCACAAAAAGGTCCAAAGTTGATGACTGTGGAGAATCGTGAACCTTTGACACCAAACAGAGCCCTTGGGTAGAATGAAGCTAGCTCACCAAACCGAAGAGTTGCTTGTCACTGTTCGTACTCCACCTGGCGACTTGCGTGGCCAGCGACCCCACGGCAGAGGCCAAATCTGGCCGCGCCAGCCTTGTCATCCACAAAAGTTTCATAAGAACGCTTGGTGCCTTGTGAGAGAGTTGGCCTTCAACTTCATAGTCCTCTTGTGTTAAAAGGGTGTCTGCAACGTAGAGGTAGAAACCTTGCGAGATTGGACCTTCCCAGAACCCCCCACAGCCTCAACGTACAGATCTATATAGCCTGTTGGCAGTAATCGACCATATTGAATGCGCACTGTGTTGGCGAGAAGGGCCCCTCATTTGTGAGCTCTGATGTGTACCTTTGAGCCTGACGCGCTATTTCTACAGTGGCTCGCCGCGCCTCCATTGATTGCTGGTGTGCCTCTGTCCCAGCGGCCGCTACTGCTTGCGAGGCCTCGGCTACGATGCGCGGGTCTCGGAGAAAACCTGACTGCGGTCAGCATTGTACTGAACATGCATAGCCCGAGCGTCGATCACCGTTGGCGCCCGATCAAAGCCGAGTTCCTCTTGAAACTCTGAGGTCGCTGCCATTGGCGCATCATGCGCTTCACCGCCTGCATGTCGGAAAGACTTCTCTCCTCACTGGCGTTCCTTCTTGGGGGTGTGAAGGCTCTACCCCGTGCAGAAATATCGCGGATGGAGCGCCGCTTCATTATACTTCTGGGTCGCACTGAACCAACCCGTGCAAGCGCGGAAGATGGTCCCCTGCCCCGCCCCCTACAAGTGTCAGATGAAGAACGGGAAGCAGCCCTTGAAACAATTACCCCTGGGTTCCCTGGTACCTCACCAGCTGACGATGACGAAATGTTCAATGAACTTGGTTGACTCCCTGATGAGGCCAGGAATTGCTACTTAGGACTTAGGCTCGCTGATAGAACTCCACCGAATAGGCACCAGGACACCTCACCCTCAAAAGCGCATCTGACAAAGTAGAGCTGTAGTGAACTGGTCACTGGCGCGAGTCGTGAACAACACTGGCACTACCTGCTTTTCCTGACAAGCCTGCAGCACGCTGATCTTGAAGTCAACGTGAACACTGCAACAATCCTTTTGCACTTCTGGTTTTGATGGTTGGGATGTAATGCGCAACTTCACCAAACGACTCTCAGGGATGCCTTGGCCCCTCGAGTCATTATTCAAATAACGAATCTCAAACTCAAGGCTCTGCCTACACTGCTGGCTCTGTTGACCGAACCGCCCGATGTATGAACAAACCCCAACGCGGTTGTAATAAGATGTCGCTAAGAAAGTGCAAATGGCGTCTCTATTGGAAGTGGTGATGCCTTTGGCGGAGGGACCCTTAGCTATGTCACAGTCTAAAACCCCGTGATAGTCTAAGGAAACACGCAACTCCAAACCTTTACCAGGTGCAGCCAGGGAAGTGGCCTTTACTTCAGGTTGATCCCTCGGGTGCAAGTTAGTGACAGGAGCGGACAAACTGACAGCTTCTTTAGGTGATGTCTTAAACAGCACCTCAGTCACAACAGGGCCTCAGTGTGAGTTTCCTCTGCAGTCAACAGCGCGACTTGTGGTCTTGGTGGGTCAGCTCTTGGAGCCTCAGGAGAACCGCTAAGCACTGAACCCACACCCAACTCTGAGTCCTGACACGACGCTGAAGGCTTACTAGATCCTACTTCTGCGGACTCCCTCTTCAGTTCCTGCTCTGCGAGAGGGGCAAACTCACCACGTTCGTACCTTTCACGAAGCTCCTTTTGTTTCCTTGCCTTCTTCCTACCCCGTTCGCCCCTTTGCATGCAGAACCCGCGCGGGCGCAGAGGACCCGCTTATGTGCAAGCAAGTGCAGCAAGGGTCTGAAGAAGAGAGAGCGCAAAGACACAAGCAGTACAGGAGAGCCAGCTGTTCCAAGAGGCTTTCACTCAAGCAACGCCGCAGCAGCTATGGCAACGGCAACGGGCAGCCCAGCCTACGGCTGATAACCGCGTTTGCGGTCTCAGCCCTGCGGGACGCCCCTTTCTCCAGTTGAGCCAAATTCGGGGCGTAGTTAGCCCTTTGTTCGCTCCAGTTCTGAGATGGATGTTTCACTGTGCAATCCTCGCCATTCAAGAATCCACTCTCCACCAGTGGTATCTGCAAGACAAGGATGTGTGAGTCTAAACAATTGGGTGTGAACAACGTGATCTTTTTTGGAGGGGCGGTGGTAAATGCAGGAATCAGGATGGATGAGCTGGTCACCTGTGGCCATGCCTTGGAACGGTGGGGTTCCATTTTTGTCCAGGAAGACTGACACTTAGCCATGACAAGAGTTCCCCCTAACATGTAGCGCTGTGCTTCAGGAAACAATGCAACTCACTTGTCTCTTGGATGTCTTTACATTGATTGGTAATGTTTCTCTGTGTCTCGGCGCTTCTATTCGGTCCGTCCGGTGCACACAGCAGAATTCCGTTCGCTCGCTCTTCACCGTCCACCCAAATGCCCAGGCAAAAACCAACCCTATAGAGATCCAGTCGTACCTTCTCAGAAGGCGATTGGAGACTGCTACAGTATATGATAGTTATGATAGGTTTGGAGGGCCCAAGTACCTTCTGATCAGGTACGACTGGATCCGGAAAGACCAATTCCGTGGTGCATGGTATAGGTGGCCCGGTAGGCGGTGCCATAGCGCAGCCACATCCACTGGCGCAGGTGCAAGTCCTGCGCCTCATCACGGATGAAGTCCTGAAGCCTCGGCAGCGCCACGAGCGCCACGGCGCGGACGGAGACGGACCTCGACACCTGGAGAAGGCGGCCCTTCGGTGGGGCGGTCGGGCGGCCCTTCAGCGGGATCTCCACACGCCTGGTGGGTCGCACGTGGCGTTGAGAACGCAACGCGGTCGGTTTGGGCGGCCGCTCGTTCGGCCCAAACAGCGCCACGGGCGGGAAGCCGCGCCCGTGGACTTCGACGAACTGCAGCCGTGCCCGGTCCGGTGCGTGGGCCGCGTGCGGCAGAAACGTCTGAGACAGCCTTTGAGCTCAGACAGGACCATCAAGTGAGAAATTCGAGCGGGTATGCAGCACACACATCGGAGCGTGCCTACGTTGGTGCAGTGGACCCCCCTTGCTGTATCTGTACTAAAGGGATCTCTTAGAAACTGGGTTTGAGACACACACACACACTCATACAGAGTTGCCGAAAGTTTTTGAGACACGGCAGTCCTCAAAAAGCCCTGAGAAGCCCAGATTGCCTCCACTCACAATGCAACAGAATGGTCTAGCTGAGTCGGTCGCTGGTGTTGGGGTTCACCCACTATGGTTTGGGTTTGGGTTTTTTGACCACGACCGGTCACTATAGGTCACTATATAGGTCACTAGGTCGCGTGGTGGGTCGCAGCAATCCCATCCTCCCCTCGCCCACTCCCTCGCTTTCCCCTCCCCTCACTCCAAGGCGCAGCAATCCCATGGTCACCCCACCCATCAGCCTTAGCCGCCACAACAGGGGCGGAGCTGGCTGAGCTGCCAAACCCATCGCCAGTGGTGAACTACACATGTTCCACCTGCGTAGCAAGAGGCCTTTGATCAGCCTTTCAGCAAAGAACATTCCAACTTGATGAGTCATGCGTCGTGAGGAAGATTTGGCTTCTGAATGAATGTGCAGCAGTGCAGTATGTGGCTGAGAAGTTGAGAAGTTTGCTTCAAGCACTTGCTGCTGGAGGCTGGAAAGGAGTTGCGGTAATGATCGACAGTCCTCACTCCAAACACTGGTTCCCCCAGAAATGGTGTCCTGGACCTGCAGGACTTGGAGTGCTCAAGAGTCACACAAGTAGCATGTAGCATGCAGTCAACGGGGCTTGGATACCCAAACACGGCAGCGGGTCTCCCTGGCCGCCCCCCGCCGCGCACGGGCCGTGCACCCCGCCCTTCTCCATCGAAGTGTCATACACAAGGACAGCAACGCCATCGCCCAGCCCAGAGAGGGCAGAAAACTCCTGCATGCTGAGACCAGGAGCCGCAAACCTGGGAGATTTCGGCGAGACCTGATGAGACCTGCGACCCAATTCGATCGGTGGGTTCACCACTTAGATCTCTTAGAGGGTCTCAAACGGTGAGACCCAGACACGACCCGTCTGGGACTGCACCACCCTGGCACCCCTGGCTCTCAGCAGTCCGCAGTCCCATGGAGTGTCTGCTTGGTGTTGCTTTCATCTCTTTCACCCCTGTTCCCCTACCTTTGTTCATCCAAGTCTTGCACCATCATGAATCCCATCTCTTCCAATCATCGCCTTGGGGGGGTCCGCCGTTCTCGCCTCGAAAGAGCTGCATCAAGCGCACCAGCCGGGCCACTCGCGCCTTGAGAGCTGGATTCGGCCACCGTGCTCCGAGTCATTGCAAGGTCTGGTGGGTCTAAACCCTCCCCGGTGGTTTCAGCCGCTGACACTGACCCACCCCCATCTGGCTTCTAAAACAAAACGCCCATCGAAAAGCCGCCGAGCGGCCAGCTTGAACATCCGCAAGACTCGGAGAGGCGTCTGCTCTCCCAGGACGGTCCGGAGGATGTAGAGGTCCACACAACAGGCCAAAATCTGGGCGGGGTTTGGCCATGAGAACCATTGCAGAGGTTAAACCACGGCGACTTTACTACAATCTCTTGGAAGATCACTGCCTATCATTCTGTGAGGGGGACATTAAATTATGCCAGCACAGACCCCAGATAGCAAAACTAAACCACGCACTGGGCATCGGCAAAAGCGCACGCAGCCGTGCACAACTGGCAGCGGCACCCTGCAGCGGCACCAGCACCCACACTCCAAACGGCTGTGACATCTGGCAGCGGCACCCTGCAGCGGCACGAGCACCCAGGCCCCAAAGCGCACACAGACACCTTTTCCTAAACTTTAAGTAAGAACCCCAATAGCTATAATGATTTTAAAACAAAAATCATATGCGACATTTAACTGTTTTTCATCACCCTCCAAAACCCAAGGTAAGGGGGTTGCGATATTGGAGACTCACTTGGAGTGTCTTGTTGCCACTGCTTGATCTGGCTTCCTTCTGGCCTGCTCGGGCGTTGCAATTGGATTCTTGGCCCTTGGATCTTAAGACCTTTGGCACCAGCTGGGGGCGCAGCAGGGTTATCCTAGGTCCTATGTCACCCTGAGAACAACAAACTCCCACTGAAGTGGGCCTGGCTTGCGCTTGATCATTTCGTCCAACCCAATCCCGGCGCGTGTGGACGAAGGCCTTGACTTCCAGCTTGCGCTCGCGGAAACGCCTGCACAATAGCGCAATTCATGCGCTGGCGGCTTCATGGCAAGGAACAAGAAGGGTGTCAAAGAGGTTGAAGAGGTCCGCGAAGTAGCCCATTCTGAGATGGGAAGCTCGGAAGCGAAACGAATGCGACGGACAGCCGTTTGGTTCTTTCGTGCCCTGGGGCCCATGGGGGTCTGAGAGGTCAAATGCATCGAACGCCCTGCGGAAAAGGCCGTTCGACGAGGGGCACCAGCTTGTGAAGGGTCTGAAAAGCCGTTCGACTGCATTGAACCCATTGCACAACAGCAAAAGCAAACCCCATCTTTGACATACATCGAGGGTGCATCTTCCAAAATCCTCTCCATTTTCGAGCTCAGGCACCTTCGGGACCGATGATAATACCATATAATACCCTACAACTCGCTTTCAAACCCCAACTACTTCGTCCCACGTGGCATCCTCTCCTGCCCTGTCATCCGTGTCATCCTGCCATGTCTCCTGAAAAGCCGAAGCCTGTAGCAAAGCTCCAATAAGAAAAGCCCCGTGAAGAGATGCTCGGCGACCTTAAGGGGAGGGCCGTGTGCTCGCGGCACCGAGAGTGGCACCTCTCGGGGCAAGCGGCACCTCTCCACGTCTGAAGACGACGAACCGAACATCGGAGAAGGTCCAGTTGATGTGAATCATCGCAGAACCTCTCAGTTTGGGGGTGGGGTTAGGTTTCGGTTTTCGAGTCGATCACGAAACAACCACGGTCTGTCTCGCCAACCGTGCGAAGCAAGCAACACACATACGAGCTCCCTGGGCATCCATCCAAACCACCAGGCTACACGAGGACCCTCTGCACCCCACCGTGTCCGACCGGACACCTGAGCCGCCGAACGAAGAAGAAGGGCTGCATCCCGACGCAGTTCAGGTCACCCCCGAGCCCCACGGAGGTTCCAACAAAGCTCCCCTCGCACTCGAGCTCGAAGGCGATCAGGAGGGCATTCCTCAGCGCAGGCTTAAGAGGTGGGGTGAGGGACGAACTCCGCAGCGAGCAGTTCAGGGGCTTCTTGTGACAGCGAGCAGTTCAGGGTGCTTCGCCATGCAGGTCCATCTGCCATCTTTGACCATCTATACCTAGCGCTTCCAATGGGTGTCCTGTCTGGTGACCTATAAGCAGTGAAGGGTTGTCCATTGGTAATAAGGAAGCAGCTGGTAGGGCTTCACCGGAAGAAGATGCCAAACTCCAACTCCTTGGACCATCGCCTTCGCACAAAGACCTATTTCAGAAGACATGGGCAGGCAGCGCGGGGTGCGGCGCATGCGGCGCCCGGATGGGGACCGGTCCAAGGGTCTGGACGTACAGTAGCCTCCCAGGATACAGATGGTACGTGGACCAACTCCTCCAAGACAGGACCAAGACCTGGTCTTTGTCCAGGCCTTCTTCCAGGTCGAGATGGGGGTCTCCTTCTGTAGACATGAAGACGTAGAGCGTGGAGGTACACCCCAGGCATTTGACTTCCAAAACTGCAAGGTTCCCCCTTTCTTTCCACCACAAATCCTTTCCATGATTGCGGCCTCCGGCTTCAGGCCATCTGTGCTGCGAAGACTGTACATCCACCTAACCAGCTAAGCCAGCTACGCTCTTCGATTCGGATGCTTCCCTCTGCTCCCCCAAAGCACCTGTCAAAAACGGAAGGGACCGCGGACCGTGGAGGACCGCGGACGTGTGGCCGGGAGTCAGGAGGACCCCAACGCCCATGAAGCTGTCGAGCATTGTGGTGTCCTTGCTGCGTGCTTCCACCACTCTGAGGTCAAGAGACACGGTCACGCGACCAATGGACCGCGGTCAATGGACCCCTGGTTCTTCAGGACTCGTGACCGAACTTGATATCCCAGTTGCTTCGGTCACTACTTGTAGGGCATGCAAAAAGGTCACTGAGTAAGGCACTCCAAAGAGCTTCACGACCTGTAAAAGGTCACTGGTACAGTGGGTGCCGTACTTCCTGTGATGGGTCTCATGCAAGCCTCCGAGTGCAAAACGTTCAGAACTTGAATCGTGCCCCATCTTTCACAAAGATGGGGCAAACCAACAAGCCCATCTTTCCAACAAACCAAACCCATCTTGGTTGATTCTTCCAACCAACCAAGCCCCATCTTTCCTGGAAAAGGGCCTTTTTGGCTCCTTTCACCGTGGCCACCGTGGCCACGAGCGTTGATCACAATCCTGCCATTCGTCATCCCACCCAAGCACCTCACCCCAAGCATTGTCCCAGCCGACTGGAAAGAAGTGATCCCCAACAAACACTCACTTGCCGTCCGACGGTTCGCTCTGTCAAAGCCCTTCCACATATGTGGGGTGTCAGAGGGTACAGTGAGATGATCCCCACAAACCTTGAGAGTCTGCGGGCAGAGGTCCTACCAGATCTGATCTGCTCCACTGAGACCTCAAGGGGTGCTCGACTGAAAACGCCCCCGCCGGGCCATGGAAAACCTGAAGGAGTCCACCATGTAGCGAGCTTGATTCAAAAAAAACGGTAGGCCAACCAACTCCCCAAACACCCAGTGTTTCACTAAAGAGGTAGGCTGGTGGTCAGGGACTTTGCATGTGGGGACAGAAAAAATAGCCTTTAGGACAGGAATGGACTCAGACCAAGTCCGCAAGTATAGTGTTCCCCATCATAACCCACCAGCGACGACCCAGCCAGTCCTGAACATCCGTTTCTCCAGGCTCTGGCCTGCAACACATATGGGGTTCGAACAGCAGCCAGGTGCGGCTGCTGGCGCCACGTTTCGTGGAAGATGATGCAACCAACATCTGGGTACAAGTGAAGATGGAATGCATCAAGTGGAAGCACCATGCGTGCTTCCATTTGTGGGATGCAAGTAAGGTCAATCATAAGTTCAAAAAAAGAACATGGAAGCGCAAAGTCGCATCCTCCCCATTGAAATGACGTCATCACGGGTCACGTTGAACCGCGCTGAAAACGCTCCAGAGACGTGGTGGTTTTGTTGGTTTGATTAAGGCACATCAGGTGAGTGTCAAAGTGCATGAGGACGGTTACTGTCGGCAATGCTTACAACAAAAACCATATGCTCTCTATAAAATGCTTACACGTGACCAAAAGCGCGTAGGAAAGTGCCCTGTAGACCTATCTATTGATTCCTTTTTGGCCTGTTAACCTAGGGTATGTAGTGTGACTCGCAGCTACATACATAGATCATGGATGCTTACACACACTTGCACGGTTACGGTTTGGGGAAAAAGAAGGAACCTGTAACCTGCTCGCATCGTTTTCTGCGAAAGTAGTGACTTGCTTCAGTGGAAGTTGCACTCGTCCTCTGTCAGGCCTCGGAACAAACGCCTCGACACCGCAATGCCCAGCAAAGGCCTATCAAATCTGTGGGGAGACATGTGGAGCCCAGCCACCTAGCCCGACCATGCCCAACCCTCCACATCAAGTGTATCTTCACCCTCCTAGTGTCGGAGCCAGCCCCACAAACAGAGGCAGGTCGCATCTTGTCGCGGGACCCGAGGTGACCGACCGAGACCTCGTTGGCTCCGCGCCTGACGATCGAGGCCTTGGATCCCAAACGGGCCTTCCTTAGTGCCGCCCGGTGGCGCGGAGAAGGCTCCGCCACCCCCACGACCCACGGCGCAGCCCAGTAGACGGTCCGCCACCGAGGGAGACCGAGATGTGGCGGGGAAGCACTGGCGCCAGAAATCGCCGGGCGCTCCGCGAGGTGCCAAACGATCCGAAAGGTGGGAAGCATGTCCGTATCTCCTCCAAAGGCCCAAGACCGATCCAAAATGCCTCTGAAAACGAAACCCCTTTCGCCCCGATGATTCGAGAAGGGATTTCCCCCCTCGCCCAGCGGTCCGGGTCGTTTCCAAGACTCGCGACGCCGCGAAAGGCGGATGATGTGAGATAGCTCGCAACAAGACAGCGGTTGGAAGGCGCTGGAAAGCTGGGTGCTTGTCATCTGTGGGGTGCCAAGGGGGCACAGTACCTGATCCCAGAGGCGACCCTGGACCCGAACCAACTGCTACATGTTGGTTCGGTCCCAAACCCTGGCTGGTTTCGGGTCAAAACCTGGCCGCCCTAGCGAACTGAGGGTCCAATGAGCCCCTGTGACTCCTAGTGGTCCGGTCGGTTGACCGGATCGTCTGATCGTCACTCCCCACCGCTGGAGCCGCTGAAAGCAGTGCCGTCTTCGCTCGTTCGGGGCCGAGTCACGAGTTGGCCCTGGCCAAGGAGGGGCTGCCGCTCTCCTTACCCTCCTGTTGAGCAGGGGCACCGAAGTGATAGACCAGAAAAATATAGAAAAATGGATATATAGGGGAAGTCAAGGTCCCCTTGTTGAGCTGCCAAGCTGAAGTCAATGTAAGTTAGCCTCTTGACTCACTCAGCAGCATGCGTGGCAGCATGCGTAGCAGGAGTCTTCGACGTCAATCACGTCTTGCAGGGAGTGAGTACATGTTAGTACATCGTTCCTCACGGTACCACCCTTGTCTTCGCCCCCCTCCCCGCGCGCGCCGCCCCCCAGGACTCCAGGATCGGAGAATGGGAGTGAGGCGGCGGCTCGGCGGACACCTGCCACGGAACAAAACCGCGGGGGTACTGCGCTTGAGGAGTGTGACAGTGCAGGCACTGAGGTGTGTGAAGTGTCTGAAGATGTTCCTGAGGTGTCTGTTTTTTCATGCTCCGCTGGACAGCCAGTCCCACATGGAGATTCTGAAACCAAAAGATGAAAGCCAGGCGGGACATGGCAGCCATGCGGTGGTGGTGATGCCGGTAGGGTCGGGTCGGGCACAGGATCTGGAAGCCCGGTCCGAAGGTCGACCGCCTTTCTCCGCCTTTCTCCACCCCCGCAGGTGGCCTGTGGCTCGGACTGAAAGAGGGCACAGGGAATGCCCTCCGAGCCGTCGCTCTTCTCGTCCTGAGAACGGTGGGGAACGGTAGGGAGGTGGGGTTCGCGAGTCGGTGGGGAGAGTCGATGATGAGCCGCCAATTATGGCCAATTTGCGATGGTGATCATGGTGTGACGATGATGGATTCATCCTACCCCGCGTTTCGGGTGACCGGGCAGTCGAACGTGTATGACAAGCGTTCGAACGACCTGGGGGTCAACTCCCACAGCAAGTTCGGAGTTCGGATCAGCGATTGGGAGGCTTGAGACTAACCTTGATAATTCAAATCCAAATCCATGTCAAAGTACTGTAACTAGAAACTTATTCCAAACTACTATAAACTAACAAGTTTGTAAGAAGTTTCAAATTCAAATACTGTAGCTTAATATATATAAACTTGCTATTTGTTTGACAACTTCCCGGACTTACATCGACCGCGAGAGGGCCCACTAAACGATGGACACTTCAATCATCTGCATAATCAAATGGGAGATTCAACAGCCAAAGGGCCTTGCATGAAATCTCTTCTTTCAGGGTTCCGCGCGAACCAGGTCGCACCGAAGAAAGCCTTAAGCAACCAGGTTCCACCTTGGGCAACCCAAGAAGGTCACTGAGGTGGGCCCAGTCAGCACTGCTAGGGTCCCAAACCAACAAATCGGCCGCCCGCCCGCCCTTAGAGCCTGGACGGAGATGGTTGAGATGCCGGAGGGCTTGGCCTTGCGGGGTCTCGATGATGGGTGCAGTACTGAAGGAGTACAGTAGTTTGTACAGTGGTTTCAGAGGTTCGATGGCACTGGCACCGAAAGAAGTCTTCTAGATGGAGGTCCCTCAAAGCCATCTTTTGATGATTGCGCATCCACTTGAAGTATCAAGAACCCCCGGAGCTTTGAGGGGTCAAAGCTCTTCAAGAAGACCTGGCGACTCTGTCAACGGCTTCCCGAGCTGACTTTCTCCAGCACTCCAAGAGGTTTCTCAAGCACTCCAAGAGGTTTCCGAGTCCACTGGACATTCAACACTCTTTGGTGAACCAGTCCTCCAACATGTCCATGACCCTGAAAAAGAGCCCAGATTCACACTGGAGTGGACTACCCAGCCCAAGTTCCATCCCGGGCTGTGAAGCCCAAATCAAAGCGTTGTCCCATTCTGCTCTCATTTGGCAACACTCCTGCAACATGTTGTGAAGATTCACTTCTAACCCCCCGTCCCCCACTCCAAAACTGCTCGGGAATCCTGTTGCTTTCGAAGCCTACTGTCGTTGATGGAAGAATCCTCCATCACCTGCAACTCTACAAAACACAATGGGTTTCTCATAGCTCTTCTTAGGCCAGGTGTGTTCAAGAGATATGGCACTCTTGGAGTGGCCAATGCTGGTGATTCAACACACACGCAACACATCCGCGAGGAGTGATCTGCCTTGTGCGTCTCCGCGTCCGCAGAGGACATCGAGGAGCGCACATAATAGGGACTATTCAGCTGCGACATCCGCGAGGCCGAGAGCGAGGGCAACTCGGGCCTCAGAACCCATCGAATTCAGCGGGTCTTGAACTCAGCATTTGATTTGTTGTTTTGAAATACCATGATGCAAAAAATGTGCACATATATAAAAATCATACATTATTGAACCATTATATATATAACTATATATAAATATAACTATATATATATTATATAACTATTAATAATTACTATTGTTATTACTATCAAGACAAGAGAGGCCCTGGAAAAAGGCGGAATTGGGAAGTCGTGAGCAGTGACACCCTGCATCCTTGGGATCCTTAGGTCCTTGTGGTGTCTGGAGGAAAACCCAAACTGAACTGCTTTGGGCCCTGCTCCGACCCGCAACCCAAGTGGCTGCAACTCGTTGACCAGTGGGTACTTGTCCACGATCCGTCGGAGCTCTGTCTCGTGCAGCAGCGACAGCGTCATCCTCGAGTCTCGAGTGCTTTCCCATGCGCATCGGTGTTGCGCTCTGCGCTGCTCCCCCGGATGGATGAGGCTTGGGCCAGAAGAAAACCCAAGAACACGTGTCTTTGATCGTTTTTGGGGTGAGGCTCCCCCCACCCACCCCCCAAAAAAGACCCGTGCTTGTTGCACCACAGCCATCATCCACACTCCATAGACCCAGGGGACGGACGGACAGCGGCCACACTTGTGGACAACTGTCAGGGTGGAAAAAGCGGCATGTTATGTATAAGAGGCTGCGTACCAGGTGCAATGATTGTGGTCTTGTTTGGGTGACTGTTTGGGGAAATTTCTCGTCCATTCCGAACTCAAAGTTCGGGAGACTCTGCAGAACCTCCAGAGATTGTCCTACACCTCTATATATTTATAATATGTGTATGCATACATCCAGTTCCACTGTCTGCGTACATCTTCGCCCAGCACTGCCAGGAGCCATCTTCGTCCAGTTCATTCCAGTAAGGGGCCCAATTTTCACCAACGCCACCCCTCCCTGCTTCTTTCGGGCGGCAACTCTCGCGCCAGGAGAAGCAAGTCCTCATGTCCTGCATCCACCGCAGGCCCGCGGAACCCCGACGCCGAAGCAAACCCCGGACGCCGGACGCCCAACACCGACGGAGTCTCCGTGGGGAGCGACCGAGCGACCGGTGCTGGCCTGCACTCATGACGCTGAGCGGCATGCTCCCCAAGGCCACGGAGTGCGTCAGCGATTGCGCCATGCCGGTCCAGGCTCCCCCCGCGGCGTGGCGGAGAAAGCGGATGAAAGCGGATGAAAGCGGATCTTGCGGGGGAAAGGATCGGCGGTGGCCATGGAAGCTGGCAAAGGGAGAAAAGGGGAAAGAGCTGAGATGGTCTTCAGATGTCTTGAGAGGTGTTCATGATGTGCGCACCACGTGTTCTTTTCGTGTGTTCGATTCTGGCGACATAGCGTCAGGCCAGTAGGGCCAAAGTGCCCTGTTATGTCGAGCCAGCCAAAAGAAACAAACGCGTGGTCCAAGAAAACAAGACATCATGACAGAGTGTTCTTGCAAATCCCTAGGCCCTCCAACCGATCTTTGAGTGTTCTTGCTTTGAGGTGCCTCCAGAATTCCAAACACACCCTGGCCGCCATAGCTTGGGAGAGCTCAAAACATAGCCATCTTGAACCCCCATCTTCACACCCGCTGTGCTGGCGACTTGTAACATGTGCGCACTCCCGCGGAACCGCTCGAAGGACCCCCACACCGCGGAGCTATTTTCCCCTTGGAGGTCGACCCGACGTCAAGTCTAGACCCGTCCACGGTGAGGGAATGCAACTCGAATCCCACAGAAGGCCTTGACAGAAGGCCACCCTCTCACCTTGGAGCAATGATTATAAGGTTAAGACTCCTTCCCTACAAGTCCAAAGACCGGGTAAAACCTGGTCTTTGACCCTCTAGTAGGTAGTAGTCGTGTTTTTGCATAACCAACTCCAGTACAATGAGGTCATTGACCTGTAGGGCTTTCAGGCAAAACAGAAATGACAACTTTCTAACTGAAGTTTCACTGGGCAGAATGCATTCCCTGATCCATGGCGATGTCTTTGGAAATGTGGAACAGGCTTGGGTCCCCCAAGCTGTCCAGGGAAAAGTGACACCGGCGCCAGCGCCCAGAAGGGAGATGCAGTGAGGAGTGGGGGTCGGCTTTGCACCAGGTTCCCCACGCAAAATCCCCTCTGAGACGGCTTGGCCTTCCGTGAGGTCAGAAGAAAAACTCCTGTGCAAAAATCCCATACATCACATGCCCGTGGGTTCAATCGTGACACCAGCAATCGGTGCCCTGGCTGCATGCAACTCTCAAGTCAGAATGTAGCGCCCAGACAGAGTCGCATGCATCGAAGGAAGCAACCTGATGGGACCGAGCGTCCGGGGGGGAACGAGCGGCCCCCAGGTCCAAACATGTCTCTTAAATTCTCCCTCCCAGAGGCGCGCCCTGGACCCTCAAACTGCTAGAGTTCCAAACCCTGGCTGTGAGGGTCAAAACCCTAGCGAACTGAGGGTCCTTTCTGAGCCTCTGGGCTTGGTCTCCCTTTCTTGAAACCAAAGATGAACAGTTTTGGTCCATCTTCTCCGATCTTCTCCATCCAAAAGCCTTCCCTTTTTGGACGTCCTCCGCCGAAGACGGCGCTCGGCGTCAACCGGCTCTGGAGACGGTTTGGGGGGGTCGTCCGAGGCCACGTGGTGTTTGGCCACCTGGGTGGGTCCGTCGTCCGGTCGGGTTCCCCTGGAAAATGGAAAGAACCCAGCTTCCTGAGCTTCATGCCTTGAGCAAGAACAAGGTGCATCTTCTTTTGGCAGAACAGCATGAAAGAGCCATGTAGTAGAAACCATTTGCAAGCATTTTTTCTTCCAGTTTCCTTCTTCATCCTTCTTCCGGTCGGACCAGGCGATCGAACTCTTCACCCCAAGTAGCGCCAACTCATCGGACAGGTTCCGCTTCACGTGTTTTTTGGTGAAGGCCCCGCCAGTAATGACACCTGCGTCATTCAAGAGCCCGGTGAGCTTCCTCAGGCGTTGTGCAACCCTGTGAAACGCTGTTGGGCACGGCATTCCAGAACAAGGTGAAGGGTGACGATCCACGCAGCTCGCGCGCGCACGTATTTGTCACAGTGTGGTTCATAAAAACAGTTTGCAAGACCCTACAAAATCTTGGGTCTATATCAGGTTTTGCCCAGAAGGCTCTTTGGGGGGTTGAACTTGGTAGGTCATCCAAAATATCATGGTTTAAAGCTAGGTGATTGATTGTGGCTCCTCAGGATTGATTCTCTGCCTTCGGTGGTCTATTTCAGCAGCGCTTCGAGCAAATATTCTGTTTTCTGGAGCCTGCCTAGAATGTTGGCAACCTCCACTCTGCTTCGTCAGACTCTGCCATCCACCTCATCAGCTCCTACCAACATTAACGACGCTCAAAGCCAAGCAGCTTCACTTGCTCCGAGACCTGCTTGACATCATTCGCCAGCAAGATCCTCAACAAAGACTCTTCATTGGTGGGCAAAAAGGCCAGCAACGCCCCGAAAGAGCACGGATGAAAATTTGTGTGAATCGAGCGCGTGTTTTTTCATATCACATGGTCAAAACTGGAAAGAATCCGGAACAACACATACACACACACATTGAAACAAACCGGAGGAGTTCGGCGATCCTCTCATAACTCATATCCGGTCAAGTAATGTCAAGTAGATACACTCCCGAAAACGAACCTGGACCCGGGTCGAATGGCACCCTCAGTCTGACTGTTTTGCTCTACCAGTACTTCATCGAGTGGTTTTCAGGGTCCATTTTTTAGTTTTCAGCGGGGTACGATAGGGCGTTTGGTGGTCGAAAATGGGGATGACTCAGGCTCTAGGCTCTAGGTACATATGCAGTTGTGTAAATGGTATATGTATATTATATTGCATGTATATATATATATTTTATTTGTTTAACCCTAGGCACCACCCAAGTAAAGGCAGTTCCTTTTCGGATCATCTAAAGACCGTTTCAAAAATGGTCGACTGGGGGTGTATATATCTATAACACTCAGGGTGAAGAGGAGACCCAATCATGACATTCCCTTGTGGCCCCGACATCGGGCTCGCGCAGGATCCCGTCACCGAGTGGCTGATCGATGGCCCTCGCCGGGCCCTTACAGCGCAGGATCCCATCGATGAAGTCGTCGCAGCAAATGACTCCCTCGCCTGGGCAGAAGTCGACACGGCGCAGGGGTCGGGAACAAGGCGGGCGCGGTGGAACATGGGACCGCCCCGGTGAGTTCCCAAGTGAATTTCGTCCCCAACAGTTGAACAAGGGATGGGGATGGGGGGTGGAAAAGGAGGTGACGCTTTGTAGACCAGGAGCCCTCTTGAAAGCAGTCAAATAGAGTGGCATACTTGAGTTACTAGTAGTTGTTGGGAACTCCGTCGCTCCAACCGGCTTTTTCTGCTTCATGGGGAAGAACTGGCTACCCCATATTGACTGAGTCTAAGCTTCAACAAGTTGATGTCACGGGCCATGACAAATAATCAGCATGGGCGCTGGTGCCCGAAGACGAAACGACGTACTTGGAGGACTTGTCTTCGGAAATGGTTCTGCATCCAAGAAACTGTTCTGCAGCAAACGGAACAGGGCAGTGCTCTCCTGACGAGCAAATCACGGTGCTTCCAAAGCGGGCTGGTGGGATGCACTGGTTAGTTCCAGCTTCAAACTTCCAGGCTGCCCCTGCAGCACCCGGCAGCACTAGACTGGTTCCGGTCCTTATAGTATCATGAGTGCTTAGTAAGGCTTAGTAAGGCTTAGTCTGTGACTGCTTTGCCCAGCTGCTCGCACATCAATCTCCAGGCTCTCGAGATAGACTTGGACGCGTGGGTCTCTCATCAACTCAGTCCTCAGTCTGACTCAGTCTTCGACTCATGGCCATGCGGCATCATGCGGCGCGTGCACACAAATCCCAGATCCCTTGCTGACCCGTGGCATGCGGGGCCGACATTGGAATGATGACTGTCCCCAGTAATTTGACTGTCCCCCGCAGGTCTTGGCTTTCAATACATCCTCTGAACAGCTTTGGGGTCTCCACGCGCTTGACCAACTCGCCCCCCCCACAACCAGTCGGCCCGCACAGCCACGACCGATTCATCCCTTTGGATGGAGCGTCAACTCGTTCTCCGTAAGGACCCCATCACCACTCTCGTCGCAGGCGGCAAAAATGCCTGGCCCCGGCGGACCGGCCCCGGCGTGGCCCCGGCGGCCCGAGATGCTGCGGTGGCCTTCCAAGCTAGCAGGAATTCCGGTGGACTGATGAATTGGATGCACGTTGACCCGCGACACAACGACGTTCTGCGTGTTCTGTGATATGTTTATATGGACTGCGCTCAAAAAGCCCTACTCAAAAAATATAGATAAAAAACGTAAACTTTTAAGGTTGTAGATGTGTTCCTAAATCTTCGTTTAGAAGCGGGCCCCCAGCAGAATATTGTGATACAGCAAGGCAGCGCTAGATTGGCGCTAGGTTGGCGCTAGGTTTCTTCATAACAGGATAGCAAGCAGGAAAAAGAAGAAACAAGCAGAGAGCAGGAAACAGAAGAAGCAAGACAAGAAAAAATACAAGCCAAGAAGAAGAAGAAGAAGAATGCACAACAAGAAGACACGCAAGCAGGAAAAATAAGAATCTGACAGGATAAAGAAATCGACGGAGATTTTTGCGCTAGGCTGGCGCTAGATCCGCGCTAGCACCGCGCTAGACGACGGTCCATTTCTTGACCATTTGCCCGTCCAACATCCAAATCTTTTGAGTCAGCTCTTACGTCCTTCCTAACTATGTCGTTCTGAGAACAAAAAGTGGAAACAACTGCAGGAGTCCAGCAGCAGCAGCAGCAGCAACAGCTCCAGCATCTCAGCAGTCCGCGCTAGACACCTCTCACAGTTTTTGCAGTTCACACGCCTTCATGTTTAGCATCCCTGTGGTTTGAGTGTGGTTGAAGTTTAAAGGAGACTTAGAAGCGGGCCCCCTTGGAATTGCGACGAGTGCACCATTTTGAGAAAAGACATTTTGGAAACCAACCATATATCCCAGACACTCCATGTATGCCATATATGCCTACATTGGGGTGGTTTTGGGGGTCAATGGGGCGGCATATATGGCATACATGGAGTGTCTGGGTATGTTTATTCGACCACTGTCCCGGGTCTCCGCAAGTATTTCACGTCCTCCAGTTGACCCGGTCCAGCACCGAACAAAAACTGACTGGTGCGACTCGCAGGGAATGAGGGAATGGATCCAATAGAATCTCTATTGGGGGCGAAACTTCCCTTAAGCACCAGTCAGAAAACTGGTGCGAGCGGTGGCTGAATTCGCTCGAAAGAGATTCCTCGAAAGATTTCGGACCCAGCCTACGTGATCTGGAGTGATCTCGATGCCGGTCCTACCACACCTCGGTGAACGAGCGAATCCAGGCCTTCCAGCTTTCGAACATAGGTCGACTTCTTGTGCAGCCGGTCCTGCAGACGTCTCCGCAGCCGGTTCGAAATCGCGACCGGGGTGTGGGACCCGGACGGTGTGGCGATTGAATGCTGGGCTGCCGTTCCAGATCAATTCCTCTACTTGACAAGTTATCGATCTAGTATGCATTGGGCAACAGTGGATGATGATGGTTCAGTTGCAGGCCTTGTTCAAAAAAAGTGATGATTGTGCGCTGACTGTTACAGGTAATAGGACAAACCCACAGTATGCATATATAGTGTGCTTTTTCAAGTTTCCTTCTCGAAAGAGGCCACCTCAAGAGGCCAAGGTCTAAGTGGAGAAAAGCCCTTTGCAGGCCGAAGCAAAAAGCCAAGAAACCAAGGGTCATCAAATCCAAAAACGGCCCAGCCATCCAAAAGCACAAAGCCAAGCCAGCAGCCGCAGCCTTCTCAAGAAAGCAATCCGATGACTGGATGGTGGGTTCAACTCCTTCAAATATATATATATATATATGAGTCAGGGTGCTCAATCAAGTTCAATCATCCCAAGTAAAGGTTGAGAAACACCAAGTTTAAAGTTGAAAATCATCTCAGTTCAATCATCCCCAGTTCATCAAGTTGAAAATCAAAAGATCTGAAACCACCACCTGGATGATGAGCCCCGACAATGCAAAAAAATAAAGGACACGGTGGCGCAAGGCTATCGGGGCTGGACTTATATGAACCATCAAGAACGAAAATACCAAAGCCATATGTGGGCATTGGATGGCATTAGCCATACAAAAACTAACAGGTTCTGACAGGTTTTAGAGGTTGTAACCCTTTGTCCTTTCCCATTCGGGTTTCGGAGGCCGCAATTGGTTGAATCCAGGCACGCCACCAAATGTATTGGCGGGGCTTCTGTGGCTATCCTCTTCCGAAGCTGCTCCTGCACCAACATCTCTGCATCGTTGTTGGCTGCCTCTAAGGTTTCGCGTAAGAAGATGGCGCTGATGACACGGATCACCTCGGTCGATGGACTGGGCCATGATGGTGAAAACGCGGCGCGGTGTCCAACCGGTGACCTGGGGCTCGGCGCGAGCACGGACGAGAACGGATGGAGAAGAAACCCAAAAAAGGAGACCACGAGACCTGCGCGGTTGCGAGGTTCGCACGTTGAACCCATTTGACCTCTGTTTTGATAGGAGGAGAAGATTTAAAAAAAAAAAAAAGTATGTTGAGTGGTTGGTGGTCCCAAAATAGAGGTCACTCAGGTTCTAGGTGTATAGAGAGAGATCACATGTCTCCATGAAACCAGACGGGTCCATCTTCGGCTCGACTCTCGGCCCGACCGGGGAACCCAGGCCCCGAACCGACGAGGACGGGTTCCGAACACCGGAACTCGCGGGGGGGTATACGGCGTGTTACGGTGGTGAGAGTTGGAGGTAGCCCAACTGAAAAAAAATGAAACAAACAAAACACCACCAAGAAGAAGAGGTACCAAAACAACCTCATAAGTTTGAGGATGCAATTGGGCCCCCCAAAACGCTCTTCAGCGGCCTTTCGACTGCACACACTTCCTCACCTCCGCCGAAACCGCCGAGGCACTGCGAAGACCACCTGAGGGACGTCCGAACCGCCGAAACCGCCGAGCGCACTGCCACCGTGAAGGTCGGCGTAGGTCGGGTGGGGCTACACCGTAAGGAAGGAGGGAATGGCCTAATGCCCAAAGGGTTGTTGTGCCAACAACTGTTGGGCTGATGTGTTCGCGCCGATGTTGGACTGTTAGCCCCAACCACTTGTCTGAATCAAGCTGCGAAGGTGATGTACAAGAGGTAAAAGATCACAAAGCCGTGCCCCACGTACTCCAGAACCTGAGCTGCAGGTGCTACGCAGACATTGACATGTTTCACCGGGTCTTTTCGCTCTCTCCGTTCTTGCACCACGTGGCAGGTCGGGCGTACACGGGCCAATTGCCAGCCTCGAATGGCGATGGGGGAATTCTCCGGGCTGAAACCAGACTGCCACTTTTGGAGTTCTTCCATCATGGTGCTGGTGGGGCTGCTGAACATTTGCACGTCCCTTCTAGCTATCTCTACTTCCACAGTTCTTCGCGAAAGTGCATCTATACGCGTCTAGATCATGATGATACCGAGGTTGTGGGAAATGTGCTCTACATGGAATGTTGTGAATTTTGTGCCGCAACGCTAAGAGAGCACGTGGCACTAAGCTGTTTCTTGTGCGACATCTGTGTAGCTTGCTGTGACAACCCCCCCAAAAAAAAAGGCAAGCAAGCAAGCAAACAAGCAAAACAAACAAAGCAAACCAACTATCACTAAACAAACAAATCAAACAAATTACAGATAATTACTGTACATGTATATGCCAAATGAACCACACCAAACCAACAACTGGTCAGTGCAACACCCAGCGTCAAACGTCATCTCGAACCTGAGAAGCTGCGATACCGGCCGGTCCATGGGGGCCGGTCAGGTTGGAGTCGAGACCAAACAAAAGGGGAGTCGATGAAATCATTCTGAAGAATGTGTTATCAAACAAAACAATAGAAAACAATAGAAAATGAGACCCCAATAGCAAGATACAAACCGGGACAAAAAGAAAAATCTGGAAACAGCTGCTGTTTTCAACACATCGACCATCTCTTCCTTGCACACCATCATCACATAACCGGGACACCATCACAAAATGACCAGGGCACCATCAAAACATGACCGAGACACCGTCACAACATGAGCGAGACACCATCACAACATAACCGGGACACCATCACAAGGCGACCGGGACACCATCAAAACATGACCGGGACACCGTCACAACATGAGCGAGACACCATCACAACATGACTGGGACACCGTCACAACATGACTGGGACACAATCACAACATGACCGGGACACCATCACAAGGTGACCGGGACACCATCAAAACATGACCGGGAAAACCATCACAAGATGACCAGGACACCATCACAACATGACCGGGACACCGTCACATGACCCGGACACCATCAAAACATAACCGGCAC